TTTGTTTTTCAAGACAGGGTGTTGTGGAATATTAGCTGAAGGTGTGTTACATTCATTTATGCTGTGGATTTGTTTAATGATGCAAAGATGTGTTGCATTCTTTTATGTTGCATTTGTTTAACTCTGTGAAGCTGTGTTACTTTGCCTGCTTAAAATACCTGATTGGTCTAATAAGCAGCTGAACGGCCAATAGCTAGGCAGGAGAAAGGATAGGTGGGGCTGGCAGGAAGAGAGAATAAATAGGAAGAGTAAAGGAAGGAGATGGAAGATCAAGAAAAGGAGGAGAGAGGATGCCAGGGGCCAGCCACACAGTCACACAGCCAGCTATGGAGTAAGAAGGAAAGAAAGGAATATAGAATAGAGAAAGGTAAAAGCCCAGAGACAAAAGGTAAATGGGATAATTTAAGAAAAGCTGGCTAGAAATAAGCCAAGCTAAGGCCGAGCATTCATAGGAAAGAATAAGTTTCTGTGTATTTATTTGGGAGCTGGGTGGCAGGCCCCCAAAGAACAAAAAGTAAAAAAAAAAAAAAAAAAATTACAACAGGGTTTCTCTGTGTAGTCCTGGCTGTCCAGGATCTCTCTCTTTAGACCAGGCTGGCCAAGAACTCACAGAAATCCATCTGCCTCTACCTCCTGAGTGCTGGGATTAAAGGCATGCACCACCACTGCCTGGCCTTTTTTGTTGTTGTTGTTTTGTTTTGTTGTTTATTTTGTTTTGTTTTAACATTTCTTGAGTATGAATCTGAAGGCATGAAGTCCATTTACATACAGTATTGTGCAGCTTTTCCTCATCCAAAGTGGAAGTTCTACACCCACTCTGTACCACTCCCCTCCTCAGATCCTGGCAGCCACCGTTCTGCTTTCCACCCATATGAACTTGAACACTCATACAAGTGAATGGTACAATATTGGTCTTTTACGGCTGGTTTAGCACAAAGTCATCCGTGTTGTAACATGTGTCAGCACCTCATTCCTTCCTTGCTACCATCTCCAACCCCTGGCTCAGAGAGAGGTGCAGACAGCAGGCACTCAATATGCAAGGCTTGTCTATCTACCCCATGAAGAAAAATTTTGAACAACTTTCCCTAGAATAGAGTCTGATAAGAAGGCCTACCAAACTCTATTTTTTTCAAACACTTAGATACACTGTCTTCTTGACAGATTTGTAAACAATATAACTCAAACCAATTAACTGATAAAGTTAACCAAATTTGGGAAAAATATAAGCAAATGAGGCACAACCTCCAACACAAATGCAGATGGATTCACACCTCTTAAAAATAAACAAATGTGTGAAGCATTAATTATAATTTTTACAGCAGAACATCTCATAATGTGTCATAAACTATCAAATGCAGTCAGAAGGTTAACTGTAAGCACTGCAAATCCTATTTACAGGATCTATGTGGGTCAGGATCTAAGGGGTGGGAAGGAGAACTTGCTCTCAGATTGACAAGGAAAGAAGTAGAAATTGCTCCTACTAGAAGTCTTCAGTTCCTTCTTCTGACATGAGCCAAGACTTACCTGTATGTGACCAGGCATGGTGGGGCACACCTATAATCCCAGCCCTCAAGAGACTGAGGTGTGAGGGTTGCAAATAACATGCCTGTCAGGGATTTGCTTTACGGCAATATAATTTTCTGTATGGCAAGACCAAGAGAAAGAATTGACTGAATCTTTTTCTCCTGAAAGTATAATTGAAATGTGCCCATAGTTTCAGGTGGTTGACATGCAAAGAAGAAGAAACTTAAAGCTATAATTGGAGACCCCAAGGATCAGAGTCAATGGCAACCTCTGTATGACAGGAACAGTTGCTGACAGGCACAGCTTTTCCCTAAGCAGACACTACTGTTACCCAGGATTCCTTAGATCAAATGGTGATCAATCCTTCTTATAGATTTCTGTTATTATAAAAATGTGACACAATGAACTTACAAAGAGCAAAGGTTTGCCTTGGCTCACAGTTTCAGAGGGCTCTGCTCATGAGTGATGGGCCCCGTCCACTGCTTTCAGATTGTGGTGAGTGCCTCACAGGGAAGCACAAAACAGAACAAAGCCCGTCATCTCTTGGCCAGGAAGGAAAAGAGTCTGGAGTTCTACTGTCTCATCAAGAGCACCTCAACTCAAATGATCTGAAGACTTCTCATTGGGGCTCACCTTTTTGTTTTCTTTAAAGAAAACAAAATTTTTAAATCTGCTCTTTTCCAGTTCATGTTTGTATGTGATATGTATGCATGTATACATGAATATTTATATGTGTCTGTGTGCACAGGTCCATGTGGAAGCCTGAGGCTGATATCAGAGTCTTCCTCCATTGATTTCCAATTTGTCCACCCAGAGCTTCCAGTATAGCTAGTCTGGCTGGTTGGATACTCCTTCAACCCTGTCTTTGCCTTCCAAGACAGGCTGCCACACCCATCAGGCAATAAGAGCGATGCTGGGGATTTGAACTCAGGCCCTCATGCTTAGAAGTCAACTGCTTTAACCACTGAGCCATCCCTCCCACCTGTAGGTCCCACCTTTTAAAGGTTTCATAACTCTAGTGGTGCTGCATTGGGGAACAAGCTTTCACCAATGGAACTTTGGATGTTCAACATCCAAACTAGGGCAGACCGTTCTTGAGGTGTTCCCCTATCAGAAAGTTTATGAGAGACTGCCCCCCGCCATATTAGATTTTACTACAAGATTTTCCAAGCCTTTGTTTGACTAATGCCCACTGTGACTCTTCTCCTAAGTAGAGTATATGGTAATTCCTAAACTTACCTCAGTCTCAAACCCATAGCTCACAGGCCTTGTTGTGGTAGTGTGGTGTGGCATGTATTTTGAGGTAATAGATTAAAGCAATAAAAATGAAAGAATTTGGAAATTGCGTATACAGTTTCATGTTGAAGCACCACATATATTTAGTTCAGGCATTGTAGAAAGGCAACTGGAGTTTAGATGCCGTGGTAGTTTGAATGTAATTGGCTCTCATAACCCCATAAGGAGTGGCACTATTAGGAGGTGTGGCTTTGTTGGAGTGGGTATGGCCTTGTTGAAGGAAGCGTGTCACTGTGGGAGCAGGCTTTGAGGTTTCATACAGTCGGGATACCACCCAGTGAGTCAGTCGACTTCCTGTTGCCTGCAAGATGTAGGACACTTGGTTATTTCTCCAGCACCATGCCTGTCCACATGCCGTCATGCTCCCCGCCATGATGGACTGAACCTCTGTAACTGTAAGCAAGCCACCACAATTAAACATGTCCTTTGTAAGAGTTGCCGTGGCCATGGTGTCTCTTCACAGCAACAGTAAACCTTAACTAAGACAGTAGCCTGCCATCCACAGACCACATGTAACCCAGGACAGCTATGAATGCTGCTCAGCACAGAGTCAGAAAACATTTTAGGGGTGTGTGTGGGTGTGTGTGTGTGCTGGCTTTTGTTTATAACTTGATTATGTGGCTCTTGAGCATGAGTTTTGAAGGAGGCAAAGTGGACCCACTAAAAAGTGGGCCATATCTCGGGGCTACACTTCTGATAAAGTGAACTGGGTTGAGTCTTCATTTTCCCACCAAATAGCTGTGTGTTCGGGGCTAATTATTTAATCCGTTTCATCTCGGTTTTCTGTCTACCTTAGTAAATTGTGCCAGGATTGTATGAGATTATATCAAACTATATCGCTTGAAATCTAGCCAGGGGGCAGAATCTTTGATGAATTTCTGAGATTGTGAGTGTGGAATTGTTAACTGGAAACTGGAAAACACAGTGTGACTTGTAGTTGCAATTGTCGGAAGCTGAAGCGAACAGCAAAGCCGACCTTATAAAAAACGTCGCGGTTTGGAGGAAGGACTCTGCAGAGCTAAACTGCTCAGACCTCTAACTGGAAGGAGGTTTGTTGCTGGACTGGGTGACGGAGGAGGTTCTGAGGGGGTAGAACAAATTGTCATCTGGCCCCAGCTGCTGCTTCTAGAAGTGACCATGACAGAGACTGGGATGATGCTCAGAGGAACAGGAAACAAACAAGAAATGTGTGGTTGTTGGTTTTAACTGTTGACTCGACATAATCTAGGAAAACAGCGGATCTCAACCCATGGGTCATGACCCCCTTCAGGGGTCACACATCAGATATTTACATTACGATTCATAAGAGTAGCAAAATTACAGTTGTGAAAGTAGCAACGAAAATAATTTAATGGTTGGGGTGACCACAGCATTAGGAAGGTTGAGAACCACTGGTCTAGAACCACCTGGAAGAAAGCCTCAGTGGGATGTTCTCTGGCTCAGGTAGGCCTGTGGGCGTGTCTGGGGAGTGGGTATCTGGACCGGGTTAATTGAGATGGACAGTAGCATTGCACGGACTGGACTCTGGACAGATGGAAAGCAAGAGAGCCAGCGGATGCTGGTAGGCAGCTGTGTATTCATTCTCCACACTCTGAACTGTGACTCAGGGGCGTCAAGTTCCTGCTGCCTTGACTTCCCTGCTCTAGTAAACTTGAAATTGTGAGCTAAATAAACCCTTTCTCCGTTAGGTTGCTTTTGTCTGGATACTTCATCACCACAGGAAACGGAAGACAGAGGGAAATCTCTTCCTTCCTGTCTCCTGCAACGGCTCTGTTTTTGGAAAGCCTCGCAGAAGCAGCTGGCAATACATATGTGTTGCTGCCTGAGTCCCAGCGTCGGGATCATAAAGCACAGGAAAGACAGCTGGATGTGGATGCTGGGGAGATGGCGTGGGAGACGGCGTGGTTAAAGCACAGGTCCATCCTGGGAAGGACGAAGCTGCAAGCTGGTGAGGGAGAGCAGTAACCTGGTTGGCCATGTGGGTGAGCTCTGGGTTGACTGAGAGACTCTACTTCACCAATAAGGTGGAAAAGTGAGCAAGGATGAGTCTCATCATCAGTCTCCTGCCTCCATATGTACTGATTCCCACACATGTGCCTGAACACATACAAACATGTATACACATGCAAATACCATGCACATAAGAAAAAAAGATTTGATACAGAAAAACCAAAGCGTAATTGCTGGCACAGCGCAGAGCCTTTAATGCTTAGAAAACATCCGATTTCCAGTCTTCCTCCTGAAACCTGACCCAGTCCTGTACATGATATATTTTTGCAGAATTTCTGTAAGACAGTTAGATTAAGTGCCTGGAGTGTCAACACATTCAACAAAACAAACAAGATGGGCTTAACATTACATCTCACGTGTAAAATGTCTAACATTGAGCTCTTTTGTTCTGTTTTTCAAGACAGGGTTTCTCTGTGTAGCCCTGGCTGTTCTGGAACTTGCTCTGTAGACCAGGCTGGCCTCAAACTCACAGGGATTCTCCTGCCTCTGCCTCCCGAGTGCTGGGATTAAAGGCGTGCACCACCACCACCCGGCTAAGACTGAACTCTTGATTTACTTCTCTTCTCCTCCCCAAATATCCTCCTCCCTCAGGCTTAGGAAGTCTAACTCAAGCATGTCATCTCCCTGAGCTCACTCTCCCATCTTCCTGCTGTAGAGAAGACCCTGGCTGCTCACACCTGCCCATGCTCAGGGCCTGCCTGTGGACCCCCACCTCCACCACTGACACACACACTCACACACACATACATACACATGCACACACTCACACACATACACACACTCACACACATACACATATATATTTATATATATATATATATATATATATATATATATATATATATATATATACACACACATACACTCACACATACACACACACATACACACACTCATACACTCTTTCTTGCTCTTTTGGTTTCAGTCACACAGCTTCTTCTCTGTTCTTAACACTGTACAGTTCTTTCTCACCTTGGGACTTCAAGTTGTCGGTCCTTTGTGCAAATTGCTGGGCACAGCTCTTATTAAGGCTGTTGTCTTTTAAGTGCTAGAACTCAAGAGAGTTCAGAGAGGCCTCCCTATTACCACTTGAACTCCAATTACCCCCCACTGCCCTTTCATAATATGTAACGCAAAACTGTATCATCTTTGTTTTTCTCTTGCTGTTTAATTAGATGACTGTATGGACCAGCCCGCTTTCAGATGTTTAACTCCTTTACGTCCTGTCCACATAAGTGGGTGCCACAAAGGCAAAGACCTCTGCTATCTTGTCCTCTTCCAGAACAGCAGATAGGTCAAAGCACACCATCTAATGATTTGATGAATGAATGAATGAATGAATGAATGAATGAAGAGATGGATTATCGAATAACTGAGTAACATTCTATAAAATATAGACACAAGTAAGCTAGAGCCTAATCCACAGGGCCAACAATCAATTGGGAAAAGTAGATGTAGCAATCCATTTTTTAAATTGATGCTGTTACTATAATGAAATATCTAAGGTTAGGTAACCTTAAAAAAAACAGATATTTTAGCACAAAAATTCTAAAGTTCTGAGTGCTCACATTTGATGATAGCTTTTCTGAAAGAGTCTCCAGGCATCACATACATCATACGGTGCAAACCTGGGAGTGTGTGCGTGTGTGTGTGTGTGTGTGTGTGTGTGTGTGTCCATCCTCTGATCTTTCTTCCCTAACTTTTCTAGAAGACCACCACAGTTCAATCACTAGGGATTTATCTTGATTACTTTCTCTAGTCATATTCAAAGGTTCCATCTGTAAATACCACATTTGGATTAAGTTTCTGCCCATTTAAATCCTTCCTTTGAGGGCTTAAATTTGAACACATGAAACACTGGGAACTACTCAAACCATATCCATGCCAAAGCAGTGGATATGTGCTCCCAACACAGTCACTCCCTCTGCCAAGCCAGATGCACACAGTGTCTTTAAATTAATTATCCTTAAATGAGGCAACTCATAAATTAGAACTCATCACCGGGGCAACAATGAAACGTTTAGGCCCTTAATCTTCTCATCTGAGTTACTGTGATACTGTCTTGATCTTGGTTTTCCTGCCTCCAACTCCCACTTCAAATGCTAAACTCTTCTGCCAATTTTTACATTCATTTATAAGTAATGGTCCATGACCAGCTTGGAATTAGTAAAATTCAGTGTCCTGTGTAGATAAAAATAACCATGAACTCTAATTCTCTCCCTAATGCCAGCACCCTGAGCCACCTCTAATAAGAGGTGCGAATAAAGTCATATTACTCAATTAAAAATTAGTGCAGAAATTCCTAAGGTTCCTTCTTAAGATTCACTTCATCATTCAGCAGATATTTGTTAAACGGTAAGCTCTGTGCAAAGCAGTGAGAACACAGGTCACCAAGCCAGATCCTGTCCTAAGCAGTTCTAGTGTGTTAGGACACAGAGCCAGGAACAAGCCAACAAGACATAAGATGCTAAGTGCAAGGATGAGCGTAAGCAGGGCATCTTAGGTGAGAAGGAAGAGGGACCTGCTCTGGGCATGAGGCAAAGCATTCCAGAAGTGACAGGAGCCAGACATGAGAGATGATGAAAGTGATGGCCGGGAAGAAGGAACAATATACATGGGTCATTCTAAGTTCTGGGACATGGAAATAGTCTGGACTAGCTGGAGTGCATTGTGTGAAGGAGTAAACACAGGGAAGAAGCCTGCAGGGGTCATCTAAGGCAAGAATCAAGAAAAGGACAATTTGGAAGGTTTCCCTCATGGTAAAAAGAGGCCATTGAAAGATTTAAATCAAAAGTAGTTTTAAAACCAGGTGTCGTGGCACACGCCTTTAATACCAGCGTGGAGGCAGAGGCAGGAGGATCTCTGTAAGTCTGAGGCCAGCCTGGTCTACAAAGCGAGATCCAGGACAGCCAGGGCCACACAGAGAGACCTTGTCTCGAAAAACGAAATCAAACAAAACAAAAAGTAGCTTTAAAAAATAAAAATGGGCCAGGCAGTGGTGGCGCATGCCTTTAATCCCAGCACTTGGGAGGCAGAGGCAGGCGTGTGAGTTCGAGGCCAGCCTGGTCTACAGAGCAAGATCCAGGAAAGGCATAAAGCCACACAGAGAAACCCTGTCTTGAAAAACCATAAATAAATAAATAAATATATAAATAAATAAATAAAATGGGCTGCAGAGATGGCTCAGCAGTTTAGAAAGTGTACTATTCCTATACAAACCCCGAGTTTGGTTCTCAGCACCAATGGCCAGTGGCCCACAACTGCCTGTAATCCAGCTCCAGGGCATATGATACCTCTGGCCCCCAAGACCACCAAAATTCACATGCACACATGCTTACACACATACACACACACACACACACACACACACATTGGTACACATAAAAGTAACAAAAAAATTAATTAAATAAAGGCATTCCTGGTTAAGTGTGGGAAATGAAGTTATGTTGGGACAAGAGAGAGGCCACAGGGGCAATAATGATTATTGTTTATTTATTTATTTATTTACCGAAAAGTCATTTAGCTGTTGGGCTGCTAGCCTGCAGGGGGCGATAGGAGTATGTAGAAGAGGGGGTGCAAAATGGTGGCATATTTCTGGCTTGGGGATGAGGTTGTAGATGCTATTATTCACTAAGATGAGTGACCCTGGAAGAAAAACAGGGTACATAGAAGAGAAGCTTAGCTCTGGACATGTTGAGGTTGAGGAGCCAGTGAGACAGAGCATGGAGATCTAAGTGTAGGGATCAGGAGAAAGTTCTGCTCTGAAGATACATGGAGATCATTAGCACAGTGGCAAGAGGAACCAGCTGCAGGAGGGAAGAGGTTCCTGAGGCTCTGGGGGGACTTAAAAGAGCAGTGTGGTTGAGAAAGGTGTGGTACACAACAAGGTATAGAATGTACAGGAAGGAGACAGACACTAGAATTAGTAAAATGGTGTAGAATCAAGATTTATGAATGTATCAGATGTCATGGAAGCAATGAGTGGGCAGGAGTGGAATTGGGGGATTTTAGATAGTTGGGAAAATAGTGCGTCACAGGCTGAGGAAGGGAAGATGGGAGGCAGACTTTTACAGGAAACTGTTACACTTTGCACAGTGCACTCTCTAAGAACAGCAGTCTGCTCTTGCAGGCTCCCCATACCATAGCAATGGTGTTCAACCAGGAGACACTGACTGGTGAGGTACCATGGGAACAATGCTATGTGACATTTAACCTTGGCTATAAAATACCAAGCACCCCAAGGCCAGGCACTGGAAGAGGAGGTCTACTCCTATGCACTTCCATTCAGCATGATGCCTGAGCAGAGAGCCAGTTAACAAAGCATCCCATGCTATGGTACTAGAATCACCTAAGTCTCTTAAGCTAGCATAAAGAGGATCGGTTACAATTCTAGAGCTAGTGAGTTGGAATTTTAAGAAGGATGGTTATGAAGGTCTACATTGCTATCTCTTCCTCAGAAGTAGTTCTCCAGCGACACTAAAAGTCAACGGACGGTGATGACTCAAACTGAAGACCGTGAGTCTCTGGGAGGAGAAAACAGGTGCACACAGCACCCTTCAGAGGGGCCGTAGAGCACGAGGAAAGGAAAAGACCACAGGATGGGCTAACTGGGAGCTCTCTGCACACACACTACCCCAACCCGGTGTACAGAGACAGATCAAACAGTGACTGGAAGACAACAAGAATGACTGTGATTTTAGACTTGGGAGGCAGTAATGACTGGCGAGGGAACTTGTGAGTCAGTGTGTCCAGGGTCTGTTTTGTGATTTAGATAAGTCCCCACGTTGAAATCACTGGAGTCAAATACCTTCTCCAGATGTTTAACACTAAGGAAAACAGAAAACGGACAGAAGTTAAAAAGGAGTTGGAGGTCTGAATGAGAAATAGGTTGGGGGTGGTTTGTCTCTTTAGAACTGGTAACATTTAAAGCTAAATAAGGTTGGAGGAAATAAGGCAGGTTGGAGATGCCAGAGAAGAGGCACACATATGTATTTGCTTCTCCAGGGCTGCCTGCCAGCTATTGTTCCTATCAGCCCCACGGCACATATGCCTTCCTCTGCCTGGCCATCACACCAGCGTTCGCCCGTGATGCTGTTTGCTCCCATCATGAATTAAACCCCAGTAATCCCACCGTCTCCCTACTTTTACCATAACAAAATCCTCTAAAGGATTGGTTATATTTGCTATCTCCATTTTATCCCTCTCATATTCCAGCCTTCATCCTGAACAGGTTTTCATCACACCTCAAGAACAGACCACAAATGACCTCCGCACTGCTAAATCCAATGGCCAGATCTCATGAAAAATAGCAGCAACATTTGATTGACATCTGTCACTCTCTCCTCGCTGATTTTGCTCTTAGTATCTAGGAAGCTAATTGGTGATGGCTTTAAAAATTGTAATTGAAAATTATTTAAATTGTTTAATATTCTTTTCCATGAAGAGGAATCTTTTCTTTTGAACCTGGGTGGGCTTTGACTAGAAGGGTGCAATACCATATGACATCCAAGCTGGGTTATAAAACACTAGGCACAAGGGAAGCTGTCCACTCTGCTCACTTTTACTGGACATTGTTTTGGGAACTCTAGCTAGAGAAATTAGGAAGAAGGAAAGGGAAGGAGGGAGTAAAGGAGGAAGGAAGGGAAGAAAACTCATCCATATTGGAAAGGAAGTGACATTATCTCTTTCACGTTGAGACGAGCTTGTATCCAGACAGGAGTAAACATCCTCTAGACAGCTATTAGAACCATGAAACAGTTCAGCAGTCCAGAAGGGCATGCTATCAGCACAAAATGAATGGCATTTCCATTCACTGGCAATGAACAATCGCAAAATGCCATAAAGAAAATAACTCAGGCCTGGGAGGTGGCTCAGTGGATCAAATGTTTTCTGTGAGAGCATGAGAAACTGAGTTTGGATCCCCAGCACCCACATCAGCTAAGCACAGCAGCCCACATCTGGAACCACAGCATAGGGTTGTGTGGGCAAAGATAGATGGATCCTTGAGGTCCCCTGGCCAGGCAGTCTAGCCAAAATGGCAGCCCCTATTCCAATGGCAGATTCAATAAGGCCTTATCTCAAAAAAATAAGGTGGAGAGTAATTGGAAAACACCAAGGTCCACCTTTGGCCTCCACACCTCTGCACATATACAGGTACACACACAAAAACATGAACACACATACAACAACCACACACACACACACACAAATGTAGGGAGGGAGAGGGAGGGAGACAGGGACATAAGGTAGAAAGAAAATAGGAACAAAAGAAAACATTTCCATTTGTAGTAGCACCAAAAAGAATAAAGTGTTTAGCAACAAATTTTTACAAACTAAAAAACTGTATGCCAAAAACTATAAAACCATGTTTCAAAAGGCATCATTAAGAAAGTGAGAAGAAAAGAACTCAGACTGGGAGAGGAAACATTATAATTCGAATAGCCTACGAGGGACTTGAAGCCAGAAATGATAAAGATTTCTTACAACTCAATAACAAAAAGTCAAATGGCACAATTTTAAAAATCAGTGAAAGCTGTGGATAGGGCCAATGAGATGCCTCAGCAGGCAAAAGTGCTTGCCACAGGAGTGTGATCTCAGAACCCACAATGGAAGGCAAACCAATTCCCTAAAGCTGTCCTCTGGCCGCCACACATGTGCCAAGCATACATGTACTCACTCACACATATACACACATACACAATAATAATAAAATAATTTTTTCTTAAAGTCTTAATATACATGGCTGAAAAATACAAGAAAAGATACTCAATATCCACTCATTAGAGAAATGCAAATAAGAGAGACACGCCTGGATGCTGGAGAGATGGCTCAGTGGTTAAGAGCACTGACTGCTTTTCCAGAGGTCCTGAGTTCAATTCCCAGCAGCCACATGGTGGCTCACAACCATCTGTAATAAGAGCTGATGTCCTCTTCTGGCATGTAAGCATTCATGCAAATAGGGCACTCATATACATAAAAATACATTAAAAAAAGAAAGGAAGAAAGAAAGAAGTGCCAGAAAAAAAGAGAGAGCGAGAGAAAGTCACACCTGTGTTTCAGCGTGGTGGTTTTCCAGAGCTGTGTGTAGAGGAGTGAGTTCATAGGTATACAGAATGGTGGTTGTTGGGAGCTGGCTGTAGGAGGGATTTTACAGGCATAGATTTTCAGTTTCTGGAGATGAAAACTGTCCTGGAGATCTGCTGCTGTGAGTGTGAATCTATGTCACACTACAAGTAGTTATAGCGGTGGATTTTGTTACACATTGTTTTCACTAGCGTTTTAAAACAATACAATTATAGCACTTAAACCTGTTAAAATAATACTAGTCTGAAATGATAACAAATATTGGTGAGGATGTAGAGAAACACACACACACACACACACACACACACACACACACACACACCCCATACACTACTGTGTGAAGTGTCTCAATGGCTTTGCCAAGAAGTTGCTGAGACATCCCTCACAAGGTTTTGCACATTACCATGTGACCGGCAGGTCCACTATTGAGGTGTGCTGGCCAGGTGGTGTAAAAAGTACTTAGAGAGAAATCATGAGTTTCTGGACATTCTTACCTGCATAAAAGCAGAGTCTCCTAAAAGAACTCAATTGCCATAAATTCCCTCCCATCTCAAGGAGGGCTGGCTTATCACCGGAAGTGCAAAGTCTCCGGTACCATGCCTGGACAGACAGTTTAAAAACAAAACAAAATAAACAAACAACAACCACCAACTTCTCACATTTCCCAACTGGGGTGCATTTGCCCTGACAGTCATTTCCCTAAACACAGATAATCCTGGAGAGGTGGGAGCAGATCAGCTGTTCAAGGCCAGCCTGGGCTACACGAGTTCTTGTCTCAAAGCGAGAAAGTCATTTTCCTATAAGCATCCTTCTCCATGACCCCTTCACTTATTAGACCCCAGATTGATTCCTTTGATAACTGTAGTTCTGTGTCTGTGTCTGTGTGCAGGTGTGCGCACATGAGGGGAGGCTCCCCTGGAGTGTCAGGCCGACTGCAGATGGAGTCACAGGTGCTTGTGAGCTGTGAATGTGGGTGCTGGGAACCAGACTCAGGTCCTCTGTAAGAGCAGCATCTTTTCAGCCCCATGGCCCCAACTTCTTTTTTTTTTTTTTTTAGTTTTTCCGAGACAGGGCTTCTCTGCGTAGCTTTGCGCCTTTCCTGGATCTCGCTTAGTAGACCAGGCTGGCCTCGAACTCACAGAGATCCGCCTGCCTCTGCCTCCCGAGTGCTGGGATTAAAGGCGTGCGCCACCACCGCCCGGCAGGCCCCAACTTCTTAACCACTCCTTTCTTTTTCATTTTATTTTATGTGTACGGGTGTTTTTCCTGCCTGTATGTCTGTGTGCCAGGTGTGTGTGTACAGTGCTCTCAGAGGTCACAAGAGGACATAGAATCCCTTGACACTGGAGTTACAGGTGGTTGTGAGCTACCATGTGGGTGCTGGGAATTAAACCCAGGTCCTCTGGAAGAGCAGTGCTCTTAACTGCTGAGCCATCTCTCCAGCTCTGGGTCACATTTCTTTGTGAACTCCAATATGTATACAAATAAAATGTCTTCTTTCCTATTAATCTGTCATTTGTGTTTCATTTAGACCCTAAACACTAAACCTAAAAGGGTAGTTTTTCCTTCCTTACGGTAGATATCTAAGAGAATCTAAATGTCTATACACATAAAAATGTGTATGAATACTCACAGCAGCATTACTCTCAACATATGAAAGGTAGAAGAAGCCATCTGCTCATCCACTGGTGAGTGGACGAACACAATGTGGCCTATCTATAGAATGGAATATGCTTTGGCAATGAAAAGGAGTAATTTGTGCTATGATGTGGATGAACCTTGAAAACATGGTGAGAGCCGGGTGGTGGTGGCACACACCTTTAATCCTAGCACTCGGGAGGCAGAGCCAGGCGGATCTCGGTGAGTTCGAGGCCAGCCTGGTCTACAGAGTGAATTCCAGGACAGACACAAAGCTACACAGAGAAATCTTGCCTCAAAAAACCCAAAAAAACAAAACAAAAAGGAAGAAAGAAAGAAAGAAAGAAAGAAAGAAAGAAAGAAAGAAAGGAAGGAAGGAAGAAAGAAAGAAAAGATGGTGATAAGTAAACTAGAAGCCAGTAGTCATAAGAGACCACTAATGGTACCATTTCATTTGACCCCACGTGACTCCATTCATGAAACGACTGAAACAGTCGTATAGAGATGGAAAGCAGACTGATGCTTGCCTAGAGCTAGAAGGTGGAGGAATGGGGACTGGCCCGACAGATACAGGGGTTCCTTTATGAAGTAATGAAAAATGTTCTGAAATTGAGGGTAAATGGATGTACAACCTCACGAGCATTAGAAAGCTACTATTATACTTTAAATAGTGTGTGTGGGGGGGAGGTGCTCAGATCTCCATAATTTTAAGGCACAAACAGGAAAGGGTCACACAACTTTGGGCACAATCACTGCAAACACTTGTTCTCCGAGCCCTGGGCCCCGTTTAGAGATCTGCTTTCCCTGAAGCCACCAGGGTTGCATGAAGAGGCCACACTGTGTCTGAGTCACCACAGGCCAAGGCTGGAGCCTCTGGGCCTTTAAATCACCCTGGTCTCTCAAGTCTTTTCCAAAGATGCCCCAAGCAAGGCAATCTGCACAACACTCTTGTCTAATCCCCGCCACAGAACCTGTGAGAACGATACAATGATGGTTCTGATAGCATTCAGTCTGGGGAAAACCGGTTAAGCACTAACAGATAACCATGGACCCTGCCATGTTTCCCTCTCTCCACTTTCTTAATCTAGTGGCTCCTCCCTAATCTCCCTGAATATTAGGATCTCCAACACCTCAGTCCCCAGGTCAGTCTTTTCCTGTGCGCCCTCCCTGAAGCTGTATAGCTTCAAACACCATGCCAATGACCCTAATTTTCTGTAATCAGATGGACCACCCCTCTGCACGCTATAGAGCACTAAGTATATTTACCTGTGTATCTGACATCTCCACTTAGATTTCCAATTGGTGGGTGTGACTAAACAGAACCAACATTCTTTCCCTCCAAACCTGTTTCTTCCAGTTGTCTCCATCTCAGTAATTACATGGTCACCACTATGGCCTCTTACCTACATTATCACATGGCTCCAAGTCACCCTCAGGTACCTTCTGAAAGGGCCAAAGAGACCTTCCTCAACTGTGCATTTGACATTTTGACCCCACCCCCACCCTCCACTTGGCCTACCCACATAGGTCCACTTTCAGCTTCTCCACAGCACTGTCTCCATCTGGTGCGCTACAGCCTCTTCTGACTGGCCTCTCTCTACTAGTGTAGGCTACAAAGGCAGGCCTTTCATCTACCACACTCATTGCTTATATCGCCAATGTCCACACACGGCAAACTGTCTCTGAGACTTCAGGAGCAAGCACAGTTGAGATCAAGAGTGCAAGCTGAATGTCAACCTCAAAGGAGATAGAATGCTCTGTTGTCTGGGGGAAGAAGAGGACGTCTACACGCTTTGATTAGCTAAGCGAAGCAATAGACGTCCGGCTCACAGAGCTTGCTCGGCACTATGACTAGGTCTACACAGTTCACACTTGCTACCCGGCATAGGCCGCTCAACAGCCTGTGGATAGATCTAGCATCATTTTGTCCGGGAGGAAACTGAAGCCGAGTAATCTGTCCAAGGCAATCAATTTGACAGCAGAACTGGACCCCAACTCTGAGAGCTGGAGGTGTCGGAGCTGTGTGGGACACAGCTGCTGAGAAAAGCAGCCGAGGTTTGGGAAGCGATGGGGAGTTTGGTAGGGATTTGTGGAGTAGTGCTGAGGGCCCAGATACACCGGGAAAGGTGGCTTCACAGTGGACTCCAGCAACCCATCAGGCCCTTGACTTTCTACTGCAGTCACACAGCTAAAGCCAAGCATGGCGGCGCACACCTACGGCACTCAGGAAGTGAAGACGAGGGAGGGGGTACTTCCAGTCTAGGGTAGGCAGGGGCTACACAGTGAAACCCTGTTTCACACACACACACACACACACACACACACACACACACACACACACACACACACCAACCAGAGTTGAGTTTAGCCAAGTTTGTGGACTGGAGGACAGGAAATGTGGAGAGGTCAGGAACACAAGAAAAAATGAAAATACATTTGAAATAGTTGGACAGGGAACCTGGGAGCAAGTTAATGAATTATGAGATTACTCAGGGACCTGAGAGATAGAGGCCACGGTGACAAAGTTTCGAGATGGAAACACTAAAGAAAGCATCGAAAGACAGAGACTGATCACTGGGAAAGGCTATGTTCAGGACCTAGAAAACAGATTTAGGATGCTCTTGAGAGAGGGGCAGAGCTCAGCCTGAGTTCCTATGAGTGCAGGAGGCTGACATCATTTCCTCCCACCTTGCCCAAACCAGCTTCAAGGTCACAAGCTTCATCAAAGCTCTTCTCAACTAATAGAAAGTGTTAAGAAAACTGGCCAACCCCACGGGGAGAATCCAAAGGCTTGTATGCAGCGCTTCAGACAGTTACCTTCCTTCCCTGGAGTTTCTTTAGACATTTGAACTCTCAATAGGCACCAGGTTGAGAGCAGTGGAGTCACTGAGGGAGGAAGTGGCTGTCACCCGTGACACTGCTTACATATAGCCCTAGGTGGGGTTTTTACAGAATCATAGGACCAAATGTTTTCTCTAATAATGCACTCAAACCAACTGCTTTCCCACAAATGTTTTCACACAGTGACATTGTTCATGGCGAATTCTGACAGAAGCCTCTAGGAGTCTGTAAATATACTTAACGCCATTGAATTTTACATTTCAAATGCTTAAAATAGTACACTTTATGTAACATATATTTTACTACAACGAAGTTATGAAAAATAGAGTAATAATACAAGGTTACCGCCCACAATGCTCCATTCGAGTTCGTCTTGATAACAAAAGGGAAGCTGGAAACTCTGCACACAGACCATGCATGGAACACACCTCACTCCGGTCGACACCCTCACTGAACAGCACAGAGCACCCACTGTTTGCACTCTCGACTATGTGGTGGGGAGCTGCGTCTCGTGCAGATGCTGTTCCCTGCCACAGGTCAGGCTGCAGGTCCCTCACCCAGGGAAATAGACAACCTAACATTTAAAGGCTTCTATGAATGTCCATCCCTTCTGCTACATTGTAAAGTCAACACTTCCTAAGCAGCAGCGGCGGCAGCAGCAGCATTCTAAGAAGTTGTCAACGGACACCGTGGTGCTCACCTTTAATCCCAGCACTCCACAGGCAGAGGCAGGTGAATCTTGTGAGTTTGAGGCCAGTCTAGTCTACGAGTGAGTTTGAGGCCAGCCAGGATCACACAGAAAAACCTTGTCTCAAATAAATAAATAAATAAATAAATAAAAATAAAAAAAGAAAGACAGAGAAAAAGAAAGAAAGAAAAAGAGAGAGAAAGAGAGAGAGAGAAAGAAAGAGGAAAAAGGAAGTAGGAGCTGTAACACGGCCATCTACACTGTTTTACTTGATTACCTCACCAAGGTCTTCACACTAATTACCACAAATTTCAGAGGCAGTGGAAGGTAAAAAGCCCCTTCCAACTACTTTGTAAACTGGGAGACATTTAATTACTTTCAGCAGAATTCAGTCTTGTAATTTCACTCCAGATTACATCAATGGAAAAGCAGTCACCCACCCTGAAACTTGGATCTCCTGCACTGTCAAGTGGATGGATTTTCTGAGTGACTTTTCTCACCCACATTACATGAAATCTTCCAGCTGGCCAAAGGCAGATGTTTACATTCTTCTCAAGAGCTGAGTGAGTTTTAGGTATCAATGAAGACAGTAGTACTCCAGTGCTCGCCATGCTGAGCAGGAAGAACATCTTTGCATCATCCAAGTACAAGTATGACATGAAAATAGAATTCCTTCTGACAGTCACAACTGTAGATTCTGTGTTATGATCCTAAGGACACAAGGTTCTGCACCTTGCATAGACAGTACACTCTCAGCTTGACAGCTTGTGACAGCTTCAGGAGGTTTCCAGCATGTCCTTGTCTGGCTCTTTCTGACTGCAAAGTGCAAAGGATTCCTGCACAAACTGCCGGCACATGGGACATTGCTTGAAGTAACACACACAGCTGTCGCACAGGCACGTGTGTCGGCAAGGCAGGAGCACCCAGTTCACGCCCCCGTTCTGACACACCACACAGTCCTTGCTGCTCTCCTCCACCGGCTCTGTTTCACTCCCAGCCAGTCCTGCCTTCTCCAACAAGCTCTGCTCGGCATTCCTGTCTGCAGGAGACGGGTTGCTGGAGGGACTGGGACTACTATTTGCAGACATGAAAAGTTGCTGAAAATCAAAGAAACCAGTAAAAAGGCAATTGTGAACAACAGTTACTCTCTGAACCTGAGGGGGTCACAAAAGCTACTGAAAAATTTATGAGCTAGCAAATTCAACAAACAGGCAAGAGTAGTTAACTTCCATAGCTAACTAAAAACCACAGTTCTCTTTAAACAGCCATTCCTTGAATTCTATAAACAACAAATATTACATGGTATGACTTACCTTAAGATCATAAAATTGACCTTGAGCCAGGAGTAAATATTGATACAATATTCTGCAGGGAAGCTTGTAAGTCTTATCAGGAATATGAATTACCGACACCATGGAAATCTAAAATAAAAATTAGACAGTCAGTATTTAACACTCTTTCACAGAGAAGTGAAAAAATGCTTCTCAAATAAGAGCTATATTAGAACATCTATATTATTTGTATATTAATTTTCACAGCACTGAAAAGTGGCCAGCCACTGACACATTTAAATTATACTGAAATTTACAGATTCATGGTGGTCCCAATAAAAATATCAATGTGCTTCACTAGAAGCTACAGACACTGATTCTAAAATACTCACATAGAAAAAGGAACATATAAGAATAGGTAGGAGAGCATTCAACAGCCCAGAGCAGCCTAGCCTCATTAAATATTAAACTGTATTGAACTGACTCATAAGTAGATGAATGGAAGAGACAGAAGAAACAGTCTAGAAAAAACAATAACAAAACAATTAGTTATGTGCAAAACTACAATGAAGGTGTCATCTCAAAGCACAAGGCACAGGGAGGTTTGGCTTTGTTTCCTTTAAGTAAATAGTTTAGAGACAACTGGCTAACAATTTGGAAAAACATATAACTGGATGACTGCCTCACAGAGCACATCCATAACTCCAGTGTTGAAGGGTGCGCAGAGACAGGCAGGTCCCTGGAGCTCACTGGCTAGTCTTTGATTCACTGAGAGCTGGAATCTCAGCCCCTGGAAGGGGTGCCTAGCAGATAGTGATGCTCCGAACCTGCACTTTGCATCCTTTCTGTAGAGCTGGCAAGTGCACTTGTCTAGTTTCCACCAAATGCATTGGTTGAGTGGAAAAGAAAACATTTTATTGGTAACACTTCGCAATCTACTTTCAGAAGCTTGAGCATACCTAGTTCCAAATGTGATCATTATGTAGCAGTTGGCCACCACATCTTCTGATAAGCATTTATAAAACACTTTGTTGACCTTCAGCACCTGGCATCATCCTAGCTCTGGTTTCTCTCTCGTGCTTTGATTCCTTGGTTGTCACATTCCTCTTTATATGTCTCCTGGCCTGACAGTTCTGCTGGGTCCTTGATTCTGGCCTTTCCCTTCAGGCTGGTTAGTGCTTGACCGATACAGCATTTGGAATCCTTGAGATGCCTTCACTTATACAACTTAAGTAAAACATAGCTCTCTGAACGATGAAGATAGGTTTCTTCTGTATCCCAGAATCTAATCAATATATGTATAATTCAGCTATTATTTGGCTTAAAAGGGCTTATTGGGAAATACTATCATTTTCACTATTTTCTACAGAGAAAATATTTTCCAGTTTCAAATAACCCTGGACTTTTAAATTATAATGTTTTTATGTTCAAAAACAATAAAATAAAACACTTTGCTTTTTCCTGACAATAATACATGAATGGGTAAGTTTCTAAAATTTCTGGTGCTTCCAGGAGCACCAATGGCAGATATCTGATAGATCAAACAGAACAGTGGAGACCACTTTGAGGGTGCCATTGTTAATCAAAGTGAGGCACTCCTTAGTTTCCTGTGCTCGACTTTGTGGTAAATTTGACTTTCAGATTTCTAGATAAAGCTAGTTCACCATCTACTGTTTGGTGACGTGGAGGTATCCCTGTGTGAGCAGGTGTCCTTAGTTCAGAAGATCCCTGAGCTGCTTTTTTTCCCATGGAGGGAGGCCTAGTACTATGTATGACAGGGCAGGAGGAATACGTGATATTTTAACAGCTTGGCAAGTATCCTATATACAAGTGAGGGCACACTAACGCATCCCAGAGATTTGGCTCTCTACTCCCCTCATTGAGCCACTCATCCACTGCTGGAAACTATGGTTTGGGGCTTATCATTTGCAGGTTTCCATCTCTGGGAGCTTTAGACTTTAGGGGCTTTGAGCTTTGAGGATTTCGGCAGTTGTTGGTGTTGGGGAATTCTGGCTGGCATTACACTCCATTATATGTGTGTGTGTGTGTGTGTGTGTGTGTGTGTGTGTGTGTGTGTGTGTGTCCAGAGGTCAGCTGTGAGTGTCTTGTTCAGTCCCTCTCACACTCTTGCATGAGGGTGTTCCTGTTGTGTGTGCATGTGGGTGTCCCTGTGGAAGCCAGAGGTCAGCATCAGCTGTCTTCCCCAGGTGCTCTCCACCCTATTGTTTTGGCAGGGGTCTCTCACTGAACAAAGAGCCCGCCAATTGGCTAGACTAGCCAGTTTGACTATAAATGCTCAGCCTGGTAAGAAGTGGTGAGATGTAATTTGAGTGCCAAAACAGTTAAATTCAAAATTGATATAAACTACTGAGGAAGAGAAAAGAGAATCCATGCGGTCATTAGGATAACAGATATTCAATTAAAGGGAAGGTTCCCTAACATTGCCAGCAGCATCCCTGTGCCTGGTCCCTTAACCTTCACTGAGTGTCTTCCAATTTATTAGTATTGTGTGTATGTATGATATGGAGGAGGACACTTAGGCGCCAGAGGACAACTGAGTGGAGTCACTTGTCTCTTTTTACCATGAATGGGTTCTGGGGATTGCACTCTGTCATCTGCCTTACATTTTATCAGATGAGCTGTCTTGAATGACTTTTTTTCAACTGTATATATCTGAGGTATACAATAGTAAGTGCTGATGTGGTATGTGTGCATAGTGAAATTGTCATTACAGTCAAGCAAACTAACAAACCATTACTTTACAATGATTCTCCCTTTTCGTGGCAAGAACACCCATTCTCATCACAAACATTCTGAATATCACTAACTGTAGCCTTCATACTATGTTCCACACCTGTAGCTTTATAGCCAGTGACCTGCACTTCTCCATTCCTCCCTGTCTGGCTCTTTTAATTAGGAACAACAAAAAAGCTTCAGTTTGATTTTTAAAAATAAAATTTGAAGTCAGGCATGGTGGCGCCTGCCTTTAGCCCCAACACTCAGGAGTCAGAGGCAGGCAATCTCTGTGTTTGAAGCCAGCCTGGTCTACATAGTTTCAGGATAGCTACAGCTACATAGTGAGACCCTGTCTCAAGACAAATAAACAAAAATAAATAAATAAATAAAATGAAATTTGAAATATTTGTCTGCAAATAGCAAGTTATATTTTATATATACCTTTCAAAATTCAACACACACTTATTTTATAAAGATACTCTGATTTTTTGTTTTTGTTTTTTCAAGACAGAGCTTCACTGTATAGCCCTGGCTGTCCTGGAACTCCCTCTGTAGACCAGGCTGGCCTTGAACTTAGAGATGGGCTTGCCTCTGCCTCCCTAGTGCTGGGATTAAACGCATGAGCCACCACCGCCTGGCAGCGATACCCCACTTTTTACAAATGGGCACAAGTGGGGACATAGCTCAATGGTAGAGCACTGGCCTAGCACAAGCGAGGCCTCGAGGCTGACCCTCAGCACTGGGGTAGAGTAGGGCTGGGATTTTGTCTACTACGATTTAGTCTATAAAGACACTCGCTCTAACACCCTAGGTTGTTACTGAAAGAAAACCACAGGCTAGGGGTTGGGGATTTAGCTCAGTGGTAGAGCGCTTGCCTAGCAAGCACACGGCCCTGGGTTCGGTCCTCAGCTCCAAAAAAACAAAACAAACAAACAAACAAAAAAGTAAAGAAAAAGAAAACCACAGGCTAATTAATGGTAGTGAATACATTTTGCACATTACACAAAAGTATCAAAATGTCACTGCATCTTTACTAATGAGCATACCAAGCACCAAGGAAAGTAGCAAATTGTGTATAAGGGCACTCTTGCTATAAGATTTCCTTCCTTCCTTCTTCTTCTTTTTTTTTCTTCTAGACAGGGCTTCTCTGTGTAGCTTTTGGAGCCTATCCTGGAACTTACTCTGTAGACCAGGCTGGCCTTGAACTCACAGAGATGGGCCTGCCTCTCCCTCCCAAGTGCTGGGATTAAAGGCATGTGCCACCACCGCCCGGCCCTTCTTTCCTTCTTTTCTAAGACAAGGTTTCTCTGTGTAGCCCTGGCTGTCCTAGAACTTGCTCTGTGGACGAGGCTGGTCTCAAACTTAGAGATCTGCCTGCCTCTGCCTCTACCTCTGCTTCCCGAGCTGCAACTAAAGGTATGCACCACCATGCCTAATTCTTGCCGTAAGAGTTCACCAAAAGTTTGTTACATATATGCGTTAAGTTTCTCTTATTGGAAATGCTTGGAAGCGGGAGGCAGAGGCAGGCGGATCTCTGTGAGTTTGAGGCCAGCCTGGTCTACAGAGTGAGATCCAGGACAGCCAAGGCTACACAGAGAAACCCTGTCTCGGAAAAACAAAACAAAACAAAAAAGATGTATTTTGGGGGCAGTGGTGGCGTGCGCCTTTAATCCCAGCACTTGGGAGGCACAGGCAGGTAAATCTCTGGGAGTTCAAGGCCAGCCTGGTCTACAAAGTGAGTACCAAGACAGGCTCCAAAAGCTACACAGAGAAACTCTGTCTCGAAAAACAAACAAACAAACAAATAAATAAATTTATAGCCAGGTGGTGGTGGTGCACACCTTTAAATCCCAGCACTCGGGAGGCAGAGCCAGGTGGATTTCTGTGAGTTCGAGGTCAGCCTGGTCTACAGAGTGAGATCCAAGACAGGCACCAAAACTATACAGAGAAACCCTGTCTTGAAAAAAATCAAAGAAGAGATGCTTGGAAGAAAAAGTGGTTCAGATTTTAGATTATTCAAATTTGGGTATATTTGCATATACATGATGAGCTATCATGGAGAAAGAGATGAGCCCCAAGTCTAACCAGGAAATTCATTTGTGCTGTAAGAACATCTTATAAACATGGGCTAAAGATGATTTTCAAAAGCATGTTTGGTGCACACACACTTAACTGGATGTGTTAGAATGTCCCACATGTGGCATATGTCAGTGCTCAAAAGATTCCCAATTTTCAGATCAGGATGTTCAACCTGTGTAAGTTTCTATTTCATATAGAGGGTGGAGACTCAGGGTCTCTCTGACCACTTAGATGCTTTTATGCTCCAAGCAGGGAACTACCAGTCTAAAGAATCAGTACATAGCTGGAGAGATGGCTCAGAGGTTAAGAGCACTGGCTGTTCTTCCAGAGGTCTTGAGTTCAATTCCCAGCAACCACATGGTGGCTCACAACCATCTTCGATGAGATCTGGCGCCCTCTTCTGGCCTGCAGGGATATGTGCAGGCAGAACACTGTTTATATAATAAACAAATATTTTTTTTAAATCAGTACATAGTGAGAAAACAAGATTCTAAAATGACTGAACATAGAGATCCCACAGGCATAGCAGGGACTCCAATGGACCATAACCATGGCCTGAAAAGAGCAGACCTGGTCTTAAAATCAAGCACTTCAAGTCATGATGCTGATCAATTCAGTAATAAAAATGTGAATAATAGACATGTATCCCAAAGGACATTTTTCTAAAGGATGAAATTAATTTAATTCAACAATAATCTACCTTTTATTTTATAAATAAAGCCATGTTGTTTGTTATCCAGTGTTGGGGAGGGGGATCATCATACTCTAAAGGTGTGTTACAGGATAAATCCATGTTTTAATTTTTCAAGACATGTGTGTCCAGGGCCAAATACACGTTTTCAGAATTTTTTTTTCCTATTTCAAAAATAATTAAGAATCAACCAAATCTTGTAAAAGTAAGGCATTCCGGATGCTTCAATTACTTACAATATCATAAATTTCCCGATCATCCTCATCAGCGAGGGTCAACAGAGCTACCAATGGATAGCGAGATCTGGGCACTGGACCAAAGTCTTCAATTTCAGTATCTCTCGGTAATTGGCAATATATTTCTTCTTTGCTGTGCTTTTTAATGCTTTTGAGTATGTAAAGGCAAATTGCCAAAAGAACAAAACTAGATTAAAGAGTCAATAACTTGGTAACATTTTACTGTATCCACAGTGTCATTTTTCTGTACCAGTGAGTGCGTGGGGAAAAGGATACAAATACTGTTCTCGGTGGAGATAGTCACTGTACAGTGCCTCTTCTAATGCTTGCGGAGTGTTTATCCTGAAGCAATAAACATGCTTCTGAAGAGCTTCATACAGCTTTTGGACACTGCACCCCCAGAAACATGTAAGACGACTATCTTCAAGGCAATCTGTTGTCAAGGTCATGCCAGCTACAGAAAAGAAACCAGAAAGAGATAGGTGTCACCCAATGTAGCAGATAATATAACAAGGGATAAGAAACACAGGCTTTGTTCTTGTGGATGCTGGCCTAGCTGATGGCAATTTTTAAATGCTGTTGAAGGATATGTATCTACAAATATAAAAATGTTAATAGCTATGTAGAATTTGAGCAATACAGCAAAATTTTATTATTATAATTTGTCTTTAAAATGATTGGTCCAATTTTCCTTCTGGTAACTATAACCACCTCTTTCTAACAATATATGCAATCATTGTGTGATTAGCACAAGGGTCAAACCAGCAGAGCAGAGCCATCCAAACAAACCAGGGGGTCCAGATGGCCATCACTGAAGTAAGAAAAACACTATGAAAAAACCGAGGTCTATTATTAATATACACAACGGCACTGTTAATGTCCATCATACGGTTAGTGTTCTACGGGTATATAAAACAGCCTGAGGAAGGGCTGGGGATGCCAACCACAGAAGGTTTATTAGCAATATTCTCCTTTTCTCTTGGCTTTCAACAGAAGGAGGTTACAGCGTCAGTAGACTTGGTAAGTGGATAACTAAGTGCATACAAATTGTATGTGTTGTTTTACTTGTGGATTTTATGCTTACATAGCACTTTACGTGCTCCCAACATGATTTTTGTCTTTTCCTACTGGTGGCAGTTGAAGCATACCAAGTTCAACGGCAGACTTCTGGTGTCTCATACTGTTGGGAGGGGAAGCTGCCACAGTCCATGCTCAGAGGCATGGTGTGTTTGACTAGACCTACATGCAGTCTGGGTCACTGTTCCTGGTACAGCAGCTTAGCTTCTGAACCTGGCCTAGGTCCACCAGCAACTCTGCAGGTCTCAGTGTGCCTTTACTGAAGGCTTTTCTGCTGCTTGTAACAGGAAGTGTGATTTATTGCTTACCTTTTTAAAAAATGTGATCAAGAGAAAATACTGTGAGAAGATACACAAATTCAAGCAAATGCTTCACAGGATGACCAAGATGGTCCCCTTACTCATTTTCTACTTTGGTGGTATGTGTGACAGCAGTGACACAAGACTGCTGTAATTAATCAAGCACAAATTTTAATTAGCAGGAACTGCATAGGCTACTGGAATGAAATTCTATTTCAAATATTTACTTGATTTCAACAGATATTAATTCACTGACAACTGAAAAGTAATCATACTTTAATATGTCGCTAAGACTAGCACTAGAAGGTAATGAAAAAGAGCCATAGCATCTGCAGAATGCTCCTCTACACACTCTCTCATAACCTTGACCATTGCATAAGGATACACCTGACGGCAGGTCAAATACTTCCTTGCAAAACTGCTCTCTCTTTAATTTTCCCACTTCTTCTGCAGGGAGTTTCCCCTTCACACGTTCTTGTTCTTCCAAATTTCAATGCATACACAAAACTGCTTTATATCAATATCATTAACAAAACCTCGGCAGCTGTAAATCAGGAAGTTCAAAGCCAAGTGGGTATGACTTCTTTCAACCCATCCTCATCCCGCACAGCTTCACTGGGCTAATAGCACCAAGTGCTGGAGCCATCCTTGGCTCTGAGTCGGTGCACTGAGCCATTTAATAAGAGCAACACGGGCCGGAAAAGCCATCCTGTGAGGAAGGGATATACAGAGACCACGCGTGAGGATGACTAGACAGGGCGCCTGGACAGAAAAGTTCAGGATGCAGGAAATGGAGGTTGGCAAACTGCTCTCCAAATACTAACGTGTGTTTTGCCTAAGTCTTTTGCTTTATGTTAGCTCTTATTGGATCTGTTAAAACGGGGTGGGCTGGGGTAAGGGGGATACTTCCAAAGTGACAACAGACTTCCTGAAGCAAATTAATCCAATTCAACTAATATATACTGAGTATCTACCTTAGTTTCAGTAAAGCCTCTATCTGGGGACATGAACTGAACAAAAATCTAAACACAACACTGTTACGCAACAACAAAATCCCCGCAGCCTGTTCTAGCAAACCGAATAACCATTTTCTCATTTGTTGTCAAGTTACATCATATCTGGATGTTTGCTCTCTTTCCTATGCAATCTGTCAGGTACTTGGGATACAGGGGTGAGAAAAAAATCTGGATTATTTAAATGTCTGTGCAGGAAACAAAATAACCTTATAACCACTGTGTAAACATCTTAAGGGTATCGACCTTTCCATGAGCTTTGTTCCTATAACTTCCACCAAAATCCATCTCCCTTTCCCCTACCAGAAAACAAATAGGAAACACTACTCACTGGTGTTTTTTAAGTGAGTTCTTTTAGTAGCTACACTCTGAGTGAACACATTTGTTTATCCCATTATGAAGACTGTCGGCACATGGGCACACAACTGAGTGCTCCACAGACTGGCTGTCTTCATGTGCCCCAGACACTGGCAGAGTCGGCTCTACTCGAGACTGCTTCGGCCTGAAGAGTAGGGGTGATTTCCTCTGTTCTAGCTCCAGCGGAGCCCATGTTTGACTCACAATGTGATCAGCCCACCCCACTTCCCAGTGTACTTCCAGACTTGTGGACTGGACAGCAGGAAGTCATGGTTGATTTCTTTATTGGCAGGCCTTACCCAAAAAGCAGATGAGAATTTGTAGCAGGTTAAAATCTAAAGATGCTGAAGGGGGTTGGGGGTAGTCATTAAACTATCACTGTATATTTTAATCAGGAATGTATGATCTCTGCCTTATTTGAACAAAGGTAGTCTCTTTCTTATTTTGGTTTTTCAAGACAAGGTTTCTCTGTGTTGTCCTAGCTATCCTGACACTCACTCTGTAGACCAGGATGGCCTTGAATTCACAGAGATCCACCTGCCTCTGCCTCCCAGTGCTGGCCTTTTCTTACTTTTCTCAAAAATAACAGTTGTGGTGGCACACGCCTTTAATCCCAGCCTTCAGGAGGCAGAGGCAGGCAGATTGCTGAGTTCCGGCCAGCCTAGCAGCCTGGTCTACAGAGTGAGTTCCAGGACAATCAGGGGCCAGGGCTACACAGAGAAACCCTGTCTCTAAAAACCAACCAACCAACCAACCAACCAACAAACAAACAAATCTCATATTAGATGAAAATAATGTATACTAAAATACAATTTCAGATTAAAAAAAAAATCAGTTGTTCTTAAAAAGGCCAGCAACCTTAAACTTACTGTTTCAGACACATTTGATCATTTCTCATTTCACTGAAGACTACTGAATGTGGTACAGTGTCCTAACAGACTTGTTTACTAATGCATGAAATACTTCATTCTCCTCGGTATGCACATGGGTCTTTGTTGACTACTGGATAAACACTTCCAGGAGAAAAATCTATGAACTTTAACCCTGACATCTGCAGTATTCAGCTCAATGAATGGTGGAGGTTAGTGAAGAGAAACAGACGAACACAGAAGGGCTAACGACACGGGACTAGGGATGAGAGAAAAGCTTTGGAAAATGGCCACCAACCTGCTAGTGAAGCTGAGGACGAGTTAGTGATCTCTAAGCCAAAAGGGTTCTTGACTTGTCTCATTTGTTTCTTGAAAGCTCTTGTGCTGAACTGGGTCTCTTCTGAATTTCTCAGAATTACCGGAACATCCCAACCAAACCTAAAGAAAGGTAAAAATAAACCATAACTTCAACAAACTTAAAATTTTGGCCACACAAACTCTTCCACACTAAGACTTTTGTTGTTGTTGTTCTTTTTTGGTATGTTAGTTAGTTTGTTTTTGCATTTTTGGGGTTTGTTTTTGTTTTTGATTTTTAGATATGAAGGGATAGGGAGATGGATGGGATAGGGATGCACAATGTGAGATCCACAAAGAATAAATTAAAAAAGTCTTTAGGCTTCATTACAGATTCCCTTTAAAAATAAGTACCAGGGAAAGAGACTCAGTCACTTATTTTATAATTGTCTTGCAGAATCAGTCTAGAATTGAGGGAGGTCAGAGGTCTCACAGAACTGTGCTGTATCATTTGGCTGAATGAATCAGTATTCTCCAGAAAATAAGCAGCTCTTTCCTTTATATTGTGGATAACAATAGAGAGCCCAACAATTATAGGTGAATTATACTTAAAATAAACAACATAGTCACTACAGAACCAAATCCTCAAAAGATAGAAAAAAGCAAATGTTTACTCAATGTACAGACTATGTGTTATGATTTATGAGGGCAGGGAACTATCAAAATATCAAATAGTCATTTAGAATTTTTAAAATAACAAAGCAAAATGTCAAATACAGACTTTCATTCACATAATATTCTTTTAAAGGTCATATAAACTATGCAAAAGCATGAACTGTGACAATCCACACAGAACAAGCTTTCAAATAAAGAAACCAAATGAAATATCTAGTAAAATTACAAACCAGGCAAGTTTACTTGACCTAAATAGAGTGCCCTAAAATAAATCCACAGTTGGTGTTCGGTTGGAACCTTCAGCTCCTTCCTGCACAGTCTGAGAAGCCCCATCTCTCTCTTTCTCTCCAACCCCCGCCCTCTCAGAGAATCTCCAACAAAGAAAAGGCACCAAAAAGCCCAGTTCTGCATTTTGGCAGCTGCGGCAGCTCCTCCTCCAAAGTTGCCAGCAGCCCATGTCCCCACCTACAGCAGTCAGTTTTTTACCATACTTGGGCACAAACCCAGCTTGTTATGGACACGTCATCACCCCTCACCAACAGGCTATATAACCTCCATGCTTTAGTTTGGGTATGTGACTTCTCTGGCCTTGATCTCTGGGACTGGAGAACTCACCAGGGAGTTGCTTTGCTCAAATAAACCTGCTCTTTTACTTTTTAGTTCAGCTTGAACTGGCTTACTGTGGCAGCGGAGAAACCTATTATCCCACTACAGAAAACCTATTAGTTGTATAAGGGGACTTCACCTAAACAGAGTATCCTAACGTGATTCAATAGTTGAATCAATGGACTTGAGCTATGTTCATACTTTGAGTACACCCTTTTCTCCAAATACACAGCACTGACAGGGAAGAAAATAAGAAACAGAAAAAAACCTGTGGAAACAAACAGACAAACTCGCATATTCCAGGATGAATGTACTAATAGTCAGCACTGAAAAGAGATAATACATTGCTATGACCATGTAGATAATTTTCAAAAATATAAGATCTGGAGAGATGGCTCAGTGGTTAAGAGTACTGGCTGCTCTTCCAGAGGACCTGGGATTCAATTCCCAGCACCCACATGGCAGCTCACAACTGTCTGTAACTCCAGTTCCAGGAGATCCGACACTCTCTTCTGGCCTCTGTGGGTACAGGACACACAAACAGTACATACATATACATGCATGCAAAGCACCTACACACATAAAATAAAACAAAAATTTCAGAAAAGAGATACTGTATGATTATCTAATATGAAACCCTAAAAGAGGCAAAACTAACCTATGAAATAAGAGCAAGGTTGTTCCTGAGTGTACAGAGCAGGGGTACCTGGGAAAGTACATGAAGAACCTATCAGTGTACAGTACTCAATTTGGGATTGTATAGATGTATTTGGTAACACCTAGCAATTAGCATGCTTCAGATCTACACATCCCACTGCAGGTAAACACCATTTCAAAAGAAAACCTGGCCGGGTGTGGTGGTGCACACCTTTTAATCCTAGCACTTGGAAGGCAGAGGCAGGCAGATATCAGAATTCAAGGTCAGTATGGTCTACAGAGTTCTAGGGCAACCCATGTTACACAGAAAAACTCTGTCTTGAGAGAAGCGTTAGGTCACTAGGGAGATGGCTCAGTGGGTAAAGAGCTGAGCAGGTGTGAGGACCTGAGTCAGAATCCATGTAAAGCTGGTTGGTGTGGGCTTGTGTGTCTGTGTAGTGCTCCAACAGCAAGATGAGGTGGAGACAGGAGAACCCCCAGAAGCTTCTGGGGCAATTAGGTTGGCATGTGCAGTGGAACAAAGAGATCCTGTCTCAAACAAGACGAAAGAGGAGGACTCCACTGGAAGAGGCTGTCTTTGAATTTCAGGTGCATACTGTGGCACATGCGTACATGTGCACGCATGAGTGTGTGCACACACACACAAACACGTCACACACCACACACACACAGGGAGGCACGGAACATACAAAAGAAAAGAGAACTATAAACAAAACACTGAACTTTAGCTGGTGATAGTCATACTCCAGTAGTTAGGGGTGAAGAGAACAATTGACTTTGGGTACATCCTGGAATAGGATGGACACATGGTGAGACAGAAGAAGGGATGAATGGGCGGATATGTAATGTAATAAATGTTGACGGCAGAATCTAAGCAACAGGTAATGTATTTCCTTATGCAATTCTTCCCTGTGTCCTGAATGTTTGAAAGTTTATATAGTAAGAAGTTGGAGAAAGGAGACATAGCTGGGTTTAAAGGCAACTACTTTTAGGGAAAATACACTGGGAAAGGCAACTGGCGTGGATCAGTGGGTGCTAGGCCAGGAGCAGGTAGTGGGAACTAAGTCTACACAAGGGCCAGGATAGGTCATGCATGCAATGCAAGGGTTAGAACAAGGCTCACACCAAGAGCAGGTTGGGCCAGTGTCAATCTGCAAGAGTGTCATTGCAATCCCTTGTCCTAGATTGGATGTCTAAGCATCTGGTAATAGGTATTTATAAAATAGTAAAACAGTAAAGATAAGAAAAAGAATAAAACAAATAAAGAAAGCCTGCCACTTGGATGCTGGAGAGATGGCTCAGTGGTTAAGAGCACTGACTGCTCTTCCAGAGGACCCGGGTTCAATTCCCAGCAACCACATGGCAGCTCAGAGCTGTCTGTGACTCCAGTTCCAGAGGACCCAACACCCATGGCAAAATACCAATGCATATAAAATAAATATAAAAATTTTTTTAAAAATCCTGCCACTAATATTTAGGTAGCAGACTAAAATTTCATAATAAACCATCAATCTAGGGATAAAAGGAATCTAATAAAATTAACAAACAAAATAGACAGTTACTTAAGATGATAGACCTAGCCGGGCAGTGGTGGCGCACGCCTTTAATCCCAGCACTTGGGAGGCAGAGCCAGGTGGATCTCTGTGAGTTCGAGGCCAGCCTGGACTACCAAGTGAGTCCCAGGAAAGGTGCAAAGCTACACAGAGAAACCCTGTCTCGAAAAACAAAACAAAACAAAACAAAACAAAACAAACAAACAAAAAAGATGATAGACCTAATTTTACTGAAGTTAGATAAGGCTGCTGTGGTCCAACCAAGGAAAAGGAAAAGGAAGCCTCTAATAGATCACACTGTTTCTAAGGAAATTAACTGTGATCCAGTACAAAGCTTAAGAATATGTTTAAGAATATGTAAGATAATGGCCCAACAAGCTCTAAGGAAAATTCATGTTTTCCAATATTTATAATGCTTTAAAAAGTTAACCGGCTGCCGGGCAGTGGTGGCGCATGCCTTTAATCCCAGCACTCGGGAGGCAGAGGCAGGCAGATCTTTGTGAGTTCAAGGCCAGCCTGGGCTACAGAATGAGTTCCAGGACAGGCGTAAAGCTACACAGAGAAACCCTGTCTCGAAACCCGCCCCCCCAAAAAAAAAGTTAACCGGTATGCAAAGAAGCAGAAAATGTTAACCATAAAGAAGAGGTAAACGAATCTATAGAAATGTATAAAAATGATGCCAGAATCTTTCTATCTTTTTATACAAGTTGATAGTCTTTTAACTGGGGACATCTACATAGTTGCCAGGACTGTATTCCATGTGCTCAAGAAGGCTTATGAGATTGAAGAATATATAGACATAGACAATAGTTTAAAACACTCATATCAGTTTTACAGATGAAAAGGCAATATTTGAGGTGAAGAATCTGCTGGCCAGGCTGCACAGCAGATCGGACACTGAAGAACAGAAGGGGTGTAAATGTGAAGGCACTACAGTGAAAAGGGCCCCCCAATACGAGGGCTAGGGATGTGGCGTGGTGGTCTACTGCCTACCAAGTATGAGACTATAGGTTCAATTCCCAGGAAAACACACACACACACACACACACACACACACACACACACACACACACACACACACACACACACACGGAGTCTCTGTCTCTGTCTAAAATGAAACAGAAAGAGAAAAGAAAATTGAACAAAAATGAAACATCCAACAGACAATTGTAACCGAAAGCTACAAGATACAAAGTATTTTTAAAATATTAAGTGAAGACTAGAGGCAGATTAAAATCCCCAAAGGAACCCCAAAGTTGTTGCTAACATGCCAACATAGTCATTTAACTTATGCAAATGAAGAGTAACCCATGGGGTAAAGAACGAAGACAGGCAAGTCAAATAAAAACAAACTGTAAAATGGGGGACTTAAATCCAAGCACCCCAAGTATCACATCAAATGCAAATAATGCAAACTCCCTAACTAAAAGACAGAGATAATCAGAGAAATGGAGAAAAATGCAGTACTAGTTATATGGGACATAAGTAAGAAACCCCCTTAAAATATCAAGACAAAAAGAAACCAGGGCAGAGATTGTAAGAGGAAAAAAGAGCACTGTTTCATAATGAGAACGGAGTTAACTTATCAGATACAATAATCCTAAATGTTTATTCATCTACAGATAGTACTTCAAAATACAAAAAAAAAAAAACCCACAACTCTGAAACTAAAGAGAAAACCACACAGAGATTTCAATACTCTGAACCAACGCAGTAACTGGTAGCAGCAAGATGGAAAATCAGTAAGGACAGCGAGGACTTGAAGAGCACTATCAGCCTGTCTGGCCTGTTGACAGTTACAGCCACCTCACCAACAAGCAGCGAGGCTCTCCCTCCAAGTCCACTAGAATGTTTACTAAAGACAGCATACTCTGGCCTGCAGGTTACAAACATCTAAAATTTGGAACTGGCTAAGAATGAAAACATAGGTATCAAATTCTGTGCTATGCTGATAAAGCTGTACTTAGAGGAAAACCTAGAAGCCAAAGAAAAAGAGAAACCTTGAACTGTCTCAAACTTAGTGAATCAAGTTTCAATCAACCAAACAAGTATGTGCTAACACTCTGGCTCCAGAAAGCCTTGAGCACTTGTCCATATAGATGTATCTGACCTTGTAACATCTATCCTTCTCTTACCATCCTAACAGTATGGCCTCCTATGGAGTGCACAGTTCCTATGGACCAGTGGCCCTCAACCTTCCTAATGCTGCGACCCTTTAATACGTTTCTTCATGTTCTGCTGACCCCCAACCATGAAATTATTTTCATTGCTACTCCAAAACTATAATTTTGCTACTGTTATGAACCGTAATGGAAATAATCTGTGTTTTCCAGTGGTCTAAGGCAACACTGGTGAAAGGGTCATTTGACTCCCAAATGAGTCAAGACCTCCAGGTTGAGAACCGCTGCTATAGACAGAAATTTATTAAGTAGGATGGGCTATTTCTCACTAGGTCAGCTGTCTGTCCTGGTGCAGAGCTCTTGGATTAGGACAAAAGGCGGGACTTTTCTGTGGGTATTTGTTTGGAAAGCAGCTGTCCTAGCGATACTGCCACAGGGTCTCCCACCAGGGACACTGGCTTTCTCACTCATGGAAAGCAGGCTGGATCCATAGGTAAAAGGAGCTCAGAGCTCTCAGCTTTAAACTGGGCATGGCAGCTCATTCCTCTAATCCCAAGCACTCAAGAGGGAAGCTAAGGCAGGAGGACCAGTAAAAGTTCAAGGCAAGCCTGGTCTACCTAGAGAGTTCTGGGCCAACCTGGGCTACAGAGTAAAACCTGTCTCAAAAATTAATAAATTCCAAACTTTGTTCATGTCTATCTAGATGTCCCCATTCCAAGTCTCAGATCTCCACTTCTTTCTAATCAATAACATGTGAACACTGAAAAGACCATGCAATTCTATTGCCAGCACAATAAAAAAGATGGGGCCCATTTTCAGCAAGGTGACTATGGGACACAGAACAAAGGGGTTTAGAGACCCCAGGAACTCTGTGATTCCCAGAGTGGATGTGAGAGTTCCATGTTTGTTTTCTTCCTGTAAATACTCCAGCAAACCCAGGACCAGCCACTACTGCCACTAACTGTCAAGGACTGTAAAGATTTGCTCCCCCAGGCACCTAATTCAGAAACCACTCCATCACAATCAAACAAAAGCATCTTTATTTAAGTTAATTCCAATGCCATTACATGCAATGGGTCACTGGGATCTCATTTCTCATTAGCAGGGAGCTGAAGAATATCCTAATAACAACGAGGTGTCCAGGTTATAATCAACCCAACTCCCAAGCTCTATCTTTGATGGCATTTTGCCCAAGAATCCTCTCCTGAGTAATACTTTATCAGCCATAGTCTAGTCAGGAGACCAAAAGCACATGAACTATTGAGCAGGAAAAAAAATAAATGTATTAAAAACTGTTAACCAGTGCTGGAGATGTAACCCATTGGTAGGGTGCTTGTCTAGCAGTGGGAGACTTGCCATCAGCTATTAAGTAACGGAAAGTAACTAAGACTTACAGTAACGGAAGAAAAAAGATTTGGAGTTGGGATCCTATAGAGCTACTGCAACTCCAATACAAAGAGACGAGGCTGATGTAGGAGAGTTGAAAACTATAAACTGGGACCAGAACACTGCCAGAATGAAGCATTGTTGCTATGGAAGGCATACAAGAAAAGGAACCAGACAGAAACAACGTGCCCCTTAGGGCTGTCTAGACTTCCAGTCTGTATCCTTTCTCGGGGAAGCATTATCGGTAGACAGCTAGCAAAGGAGAAATGTGCTTTAGAGTTCTGCCCCTCGCCGGGCGGTGGTGGCGCACGCCTTTAATCCCAGCACTCGGGAGGCAGAGCCAGGCGGATCTATGTGAGTTCGAGGCCAGCCTGGTCTCCAAAGCGAGTACCAGGAAAGGCGCAAAGCTACACAGAGAAACCCTGTCTCGAAAAACCAAAAAAATAAAAAAATAAAAAAAAAAAAAAAAAAAAATAGAGTTCTGCCCCAGATTCACTAGCAGAGGACACAGGAGTGCTGTGGGGCTGACAGCCAATCCCTTACTAAGCTGTGGCGCAGAGGAGGCAGGGAATTGCTGCCAAATTGGAGTCCTGGATTATTTGTGTAAAGCACTTGAGAGGACCTGACTGAGGCTGTTGAGGCTCCCAGAAGCCACCGTGGAGGCTAAAAGACATCTGCTTCCTGCGGTGTGGTTCTTTTTCTCTGCTATGGGATCTAATCATGAGATAGATGCTCCTCGTCTTTCAGCATGCTCACCACACAGGGGAACACCGCACAGCGGAGAGAAGCAAATGGCATGAAACTCAGCTGTAAGGGGTAAGAACCGCGACTGTGAAACAGATAACCAATAAAGATCAAATGCAGACATTACCAAAACAAAATGACAAGGATGAAAAGGATAGTAGCTGGCAGTTTACCTTGGTTGCCTTGGCTGGGATATTAGAAAGATATTTGTAAGGTTAAAATAGTGTCCACGTCATCATTTCTAGTAGACAGATCTTTTAACTTGCAAATAACATATAAAAAGTTTATCTATATAGATGAAGTTAAGCTAAGTGGGAAGAATGGTTGGTTAGGTTCACCAGGACTGGTTAGGTCCAAATCAGGACGGAGGTGACTGGCACTTACTTACAAAGTCTTCCAGCCTCAGCAGTGCTCAGCCCAGACTTCAAGAAATAATACATCAGCAGAAACTTGCAACACTTATGAAACTCATACTGACAAGGGGTAGTAAAATAATCATTATACATTCAAGTCAACCTTAAACCTGACAGAGCCAGGATGTGAACCTGCATTTGCCTGACTCCAAAGTGTCTGTCTTCTAAACACAGACAGACAGACAGACACACACACACACACACACACACACACACACACACACACACACACAGATCCTGGCTTCCCTTTACCCTAGGATGCCAGCATTATGTGCAATATGAATTCCACCCAGTTCCCCAATGCTAGAGATAGGTCTAAGAGATCGAGAACTTAGTGGCCTATTTAGCAACACATATAATGTAAATATCAACTAGATACCAATTTTCCTTAGGGAGGAAAATTATGTTGACGAGAGTAACACTAATATTATAGTCCTTTAAAAACTGTGTATGAGCACTAATTTTTTCACTTGGGAAACACCTTCCTAATTCCAATTACAAACTTCCTTGAAGTAAATGACAGCAATTAGAACCCAACAGGTTGCAGGCGGTGGTGGCCTACGCCTTTAATCCCAGTACTTAGGAGAAAAACAAACAACAACAAAGAAGCTGGAAGGTTAATAATAATAACACTATGATCCAGGCATAGTGCACACTCCTATAATCCCAGCACTTGGGGAAGGCTGCATATGCTACAGTGAAATCAACCATCTACAGAGAACAAATAATTTGTGTAAGACTGGTCTTCATGTTGTTCGGCTTGCATCATACGGGTTTTATGCTGTACCATGGGGGGGGGGGAGGTGTCAGCTGGGAATGTTACATTTTTCTTCTTTCCCAAAAGTGGCATCTATTTTCAGAAACTGACAGGGATCTGTGCCTGTCTTTAAAGTAATGATGAATATGTAATCAGGTGGTATTTTTGAGCCTGATTTACAAAGCCTGCTTCAGTCCCAACCCTGTCCGCTTCAGCTCATGTGGTGTTTCTGAAATTCATTCCCTTTCTCACTTTTCTTCTTCTTCTTCTTCTTCTTCTTCTTCTTCTTCTTCTTCTTCTTCTTCTTCTTCTTCTTCTTCTTCTTCTTCAAAATACTCGTTCTCCAACTATAGCTCATGTCTCTTCCGCAAGGTCCTCTTTGGGCCATGACTCTTGAGCACTTAAGGGGCTATGAAGGCTACAGCTTAGAACAACTGCTGCAGGCTAGTCCGATGGTTTCAACCAGCGGTCTTTATAAGGGTGGCCTAAACAGGACACAGCCACATCTCCTCAAGAGAAATACCGGAGACTCTTCTACCTTGAAATAATTGCTCCGGAGTTATGTAACTCTCCGAGAAGCAAAATACCTCCAACCCACAGAATAACTTACTCCTAAAAATCCCGCTACTCAAAAAAAAAAAAAAAAAAAAAAAATGTGTTATCAACTAAAGACCATGTCAAAACAGTGGACTGCTTTCAAGAAGCTGTTCAATTACCAAACGGTAGCTACAGAAAAGTAGTAAAAGGGTAAAAGTTCCTCCGAAAGATCTGAAACCAAGCCAAGGGTCAGTTCAGATCAGGAACACTGTCAAAGCTCCTTCGTAACCCGTCTGTGCCCGGTGCGGCGGGTGACCGGTCCTCACTGGGCACGGAGTAGGCCCCGGCCCGGGACAAAGCCTTCGGACTCTCTGACCCCGCATCAGGGCCAAGCTCTGGCCTCCCCCGGGCGGTCCCATCCCACAGGTGCAGCAGGCGGCCTGGGCCGAGGGCGGGCGGTGGGCGTGCCCGCTCTGCCCGAGGCACCCGATCCCTCCGCACAGACCCCACACCCGGCCGGCGGTCCCTTCGCCCACCCCGCTCCCAGCCCTGGACACTCACCATCCTAGTACCAGGCCGGTGGTGACGATGAAGCAGGTGAAAACCACCGCGATGTAGAAGAGCGGCGAGTATTCATAGAGCGTTACCAGGAACACTGCGGCCATCAGGGTCTCCTAGGCTCAAACCGGCCCAGCCCGGCCGGCCGGGACCAGAGCCCGTCCGTATGGCGCCCCGGAGCGGACAAACTTTGTAGGTCCTCACTCGCCCAGGCTCCTGGGGAGCTGGAAGCCGCGGCCACAGGAGCCAGGATGCCAATCACAAGGTTGATAAGCAGGCACGCCACGCCCCTCCTGCTCCCGTCCCGACTATTGGCTGCATAGCGGGGAGGGGCCAGCTCCGCCCCGCCCATCCCAGGCCCCGGGATTGGTGGCCTGCGACAACTCCTCCAGCCTGGCCCAGTTCGCAAATTCCAAACAGAAATTTGGGGTCAACACGGACAAAACTTCAGCTGATACAGATTCTCAGATGCGCAAGGAATCCTGAAACCCTGCAAACCCTAGGCAAATTTTGGAAGAGGAGGAGGGCCGGCATCGGAGGGGCGGGGAGTGGAGGTTCTACAAAGTGGAATAAACTTCTGTTCTTGTTTGATCTCGATTTACAAATAGTCATGGAAAACCAAAGAAGTGGTCTCTTCCGCGAGCGATTTATTGGAACTTTGTCAGCCTTTTGAAAGTAAGTTTATTTATTTTTATTTTTTATTTTTTGTTTTGTTTTTCAAGACAGGGTTTCTCTGTGTAGCTTTGCGCCTTTCCTGGATCTCGCTCTGTAGACCAGGCTGGCCTCGAACTCACAAAGATCCGCCTGGCTCTGCCTCCCGAGTGCTGGGATTAAAGGCGTGCGCCACCACCGCCCAGCGAAAGTAAGTTTAAGCAGAGATAATTCGGCAATACGTATTCAAGATTCTCTTAGAAAAAAAAAAGCAGTTGTTCTCCCACGGCCATCTTTTATTAATTTTATTAATTCTCCTCAAATTAGAATTAGCCAGACCTTTGAGGGCTTTTAAGTAACTAATTTTTGTTTGTTTATTAGGAGACTATTTTAAGTACAGGAAGTAACTTATAAATGTCTGCTCCCTTTCCTTACCCTTAAGGGTCAGTACCTCACGGTAGCCTCCCGGAAGTCTCTCACAAAACCACATTTATCACTTTTACTAAAGCCCTAAAGGCCTAGTTACAACAGAGGTGGAGGAAACACCCCCCACCACAAATCCCACTCTGTTAGGGAGGAAGAAAGGGAAAATGAGCACTAGAAGCATGACTACAGGACCCGGCCATACTTCTAAGCCACCAGGAAATTCATGCTTCAAAAAGATGAGTTAACTTTGTCTAATGGCCTTGACCAAATAACCATGTATTTTCTGGAGTACTGCTATTTGAGAAGCTTGTCTCTATATGATTTTTCATTACTAGATATTGACTTGTGAAGGTTATGTTTATTTAGTCTGGGCTCAGTTGTTGGAAATGTTTTCATTACTATACCAAGCACTACGGTGAATATCCATAAAGCTAAATTATTTCTTTAGGCTATATCACTAAGGTAGGACTTTTTAAAATGTGTGTTTTAAACATTTTAGAGACTTGAGTCTAGAAACGCTGTGTCAAACATACAACCACACCATTCCAACTGCAGCTTGAACCAAATTCTTGGCCAAGCTGAAGGCAACTTTGTTACAATAAAATAAAAAGGTATTTTTATTGTGAAACAAAAATCCAGGAAGTTGCCGGTAAAGTTAAACATTAAACAGAGATAGGATGTTGCTGCGGCTCAAACTCTATTGAACTTACAGTAAAGAGATTTAAGATGTAAGAGCCTAATCCGAGCACTCAGGGAAGTAGAGGCAGGTGGATCTCTGTGAGTTCAAGGCCAGCCTCATCTATAGAATGAGTTCAAGGACAGCCTGAGAGAAGCCCTGTCTTAGAAAGAGAGAAACAGAGAGACAGACAGAGACAGAGAGACAGAGACAAAGAGACAGAGAGAGACAGAGACAGAGAAGAGGATTGGATTGTGGGGGCTCTGACCTAACCAGCAGACTAACCCTTTTGATGGGTTCATAATTCGATGACATTACTATGAAGTGGTGGAATCTTTCAGAGGTAGGGTCTGATTGGAGTTATCAGGTCACTGGGGGAATAGCCATGGGAACTCTATCTTGTCCCTTTCTGCATCTCTTTCCTGGCTGCTATGGAGTGGTCAGCTTGGATCTGCCATACCCTCCTGCTATGCTTTTCTGCTCTCGCCATGGCCAAGAGACAGTAGAGTCAGCTGGCATACACTGAAACCGTGAGCCAACTAGACCTTCGCTGGTGTTTCTATCAGGAATGTTGTTACTGGGATTTAAAAACAAACACATCATCTACTGGGGAAAGATAAACAGTAGCCAAAGAGCTTTCAACAAGACAAAGGCAAAATGACAGGTTCTGTTAGAAAAGGTACCTGGGACTATGAGGACTTAACATGGGGAAATGGAAGAATACAAGGTAGAGATAAAACAGATGTTTGACATGAGATCTGACAGAAATAGGTTTGCCAGTCTAAGGAGTAGCCTGTCTCACCTGCTCCTGTAGGATGCAAACAGACAAGGATAGTTACGGTTGCATCCCAACAACAAAAGACCATACGATTGCATACAACATTGTGAGGACCAGGGATGTCGTTGATCGAATACTTGCTGGCATACTTCAAGACCGGGGTCAATTCTCAGTACTTAGTGAAACCAGGCATAGTGGTGCATATCTGTAATTCCAGCCCAAGAGAGATGGAGGCCAGACTCTCAGAAGTTCAACGTTATACTTGGCTACATTGTGAGTCTAAGGCCAGCCTGGGTTGTGTGAAACCTTGTCTGAAGAGAGATAGAAATAATTTCTTTTTCTAACTTGATTATGCAGTTCTCCGGCATGAACTTTGTAGATGACAACATTGTGTAGCACAGACAAAGGCCCGGAGATGGGAAGTTGAGAAACTGAAAGGTTAGGCTGGGTGAAGTGTGGAGAACTAGGAGAAAGGTAGGCCCTGGCCAAATAGGGGGTCTTGCATTTTAACTGCTTACACTACAGCTACCCACTACAATATACCCTAAGAACAACTGAAACACAAGGCTGCCAATGTATCTGAATTTTCAGTAAATCACTGTGGCTAGTGTACAAAACAACTAACAGGAAGGACAGGAGAGTGCATATAAGTAATGGGACACCAGCTACTAGATGATTTCAAAAAGCCAGGCACGGGGCTGGAGAGATGGCTCAGCAGTTAGGAGTACTGGCTGCTCTTCCTAGAGCTCCTGAATTCAATTCCCAGCAACCACAAGGTGGCTCATAGCCATCTGTAATGAGATCTAGCACCCCCTTCTGGCCTGCAGGCAGAACACTGTATACATAATAAATAAATAAATTTTTAAAAATACAAACATTAAAAAAAAAAAAAAAGCCAAGCAGGAAAGCTTGGTGACTCTGATTAAGATAGTGACAAGGACTTTTAGAAGAGTAGATTCTATTTTTTTCCATTTGTGAATAACAGAAAACCAAGAGATATAATTACAATTTCCACTGAAAGTCCAGATGTGGCAATGAAAAGCCAACACTGTGTTCTGTTGTGGGAGGAACCCAGACTCCTGTTTGGTTCCACTATTCACGGCCCCCATTCCTCAGGTCTCTTCACGGTCTATTATGAAGGGGCCACCATTGTGTCTGTATCCTTGCTACCACGGAGAAGGAAAAATGGAAGACAACTTCCACTGAAGAAGATTCCAGGAACATATCACACATTCCATTGACCACAAGTCAGCTTTGTGTCTGAATTTAGCTGCAAGGAAGCTTGAAAAAAAAAAAACTACAGACTTTACTCAAGGAAGTTATGTGCTTGGTTAAAGACTAGAGTTCTAACACTTAAAAAGGAGATGTGGGGTAAAACGGAACTAGAAGGCTCTCCCAGGTGAGGTTTATAGGATTTAATCAAGGCATGTGGGCATAGAAGGGGAGCAGGAATGAGGTTCTGGGTTATGCCAGGAAAAGAATGTGCCTAATTATGCTCTAGTAACAGATTCTCTGCCGTCACCCTGTTACCATTCACCTCAGGTCTTCTCTAAGCATAGACCTTAAATGGAATACACTAACAATCTCTGAACACACTGGTGATGGATGCAGGCTTGTGTAGCCAACTTGGGAGATCCATTCTAACAGTATGAACACAGAATTGCAATGAGGAAGTGAAGCATAAGGCCCGGCAAGGTTCCCCTCAAAACATAAGCTTAATTCAAATCAGAGTACTTCACGCTTCAAATTTACCCTACCACTGAAAATACAAGGAGGATGGCATGGCCTTTTAGGTACTGATTCCACAGAAGTGAGAGTATGTGTGGAGGATGGGGCAGTGTTAAGGTTGGTTTTTTTTTTAATTAATTTATTTTATGTATACAAATGCTCTATCTGCATGTACACCTTTAGGCCAGAAGAGGGCATCAGATCCCACCACAGATGGTTGTGAGCCACCATGTAGTTGCTGGGAACTGAACTCAGGACCTCTGGAAGAGCAACCAGTGCTCTTCACCTCTGAGCCATCTCTCCAGCTCCTCCCTGTCCCCCTTTTTTGAAAGATGGGGACTTATGAGGCTAGAGAGATGGCTCGGTGGTGAATAGCACTGGCTGCTCTTGCAGAGTCCACAGTTCCATTGCCAGCACCCACATGGCAGCTCACAACCTTCTGTAATTCCAGTTCCCAGGACTGGGATGCAGTCTTCTGACCTCTGTGGCACTTGCACTCATACATACATAGACATAAATTAAAAAATCTTTTCTAAAACTTTTTTTTAAAGGATGGGGACTTACTATGTTGCCCAGGCTATCTTGAACTCTTGAGTTCATGCAATCCTCTGCCTCAGCCTCCAAAGTAGCTAGGACTACAGGAAAGCACTATTGTGCCTAGCTAAAGGGATCGCTAACCTTAAAATTAGTGAAATAAGCTATGTGCAGATCCCAGAGTTGGCTATACCTATTGTCTTAGTTAGGGTTTCTATTGCTGTGATGGAACACCATGACCAAAAAGCAAAGTGGGGAGGAAAGGGTTTATTTGGCTTACACTTCCATATCACCGTTCATCATAGAAGGAAGTCAGGACAGTTTGGGTCACTGCCCACTACCTCCCCAGTGCTAGAGTGACCTACCTTGACCAATACACATGACTTTGAACTTGGGTCTTTGTGCTTTACACAGCAAGCAATTGATTGAGTGAGCCATCTCCCCAACCCTAACTGATCTAGTTTTGTTCTTGAACGCTACTCCTGTCCCAAATAGTATGGGTGTGAAGGAAGAGAGGATCGTGGGAACTTGCATTTATAAACTGAAGGTCTTATTAATATTTGGGTCTGGGGTGATGGCTTGGTGATTAAAGGGGCTTCCTTGTACGATGGTGAAGGCCTCAGTTCAGATCTCCAGAATCCGTGTGAAAGCCAGACTGAGTGTGTCACCCTAGTGGTCATGTAGCAAGTGAATCCCTAGAGGGTCTTGGGCCAGGTAGCCTGGCATGTGCAGCAGTAGGAAGAGACTCCTGTGCAGACTGGCACCTGAAGATGTCTGACCTCCACGTGTGTACTGTGGGATGCATGTACCTGTGGCATACACATGTACACACACATTGTAGCAGGACAGGCCCATAGGGTCAAGAAAATTGGCTCAGACCAGTTGCCAAGGCATGAACATAACATATTCCTTATGAGCCAACCTGGAGTCTGCCTGAGGGCCTAGCAACAGTTGCTGTCAGAGTTCCTGATTGTGCCCAGCCAATGAGGGATGACCACACAGACTGGGAGCTGGGAGGAGGGTATATAAGGTCTTCCCTGTTATTGAATAAATGAGCTCGTTATTTGCCTTCAATGGACTCCTGGTGTCTGTGCCGTTGATGCTGTGCCTTCTCACCCCTTTCCCCTCCCCCTGGAGCTATTAGAATCCAAGCAACAACACATGAAGACCTTTAAAAAGAAAATTTTTTCTTCAGTTTACACTTCTAAGAATCTGGTCTCTTTCAAGAAAATTCTTGTGGTGATATATTGTGTACCCTAATAAAATTTGCCTGAAGATGAGAGAAAAAAACAAGCCACTAGATTAAAGATAGAGGCCAGACGGTGCTGGCACACACCTTTAATCCTAGCACTTGGGAGGCAGAGATCCATGTGGATCTCTGTGAGTTCAAAGCCACCATGGATTACATGAGATTGACTCAGTCTAGGAAAGAAACAGAGCCAGGCAGTGGTGGCACACACTTTTAATCCCAATACTTGGGAGTCACACGCCTTTAATCCCAACACTAAAAAGGAGGTGATATGGTGGGCAGAGAAAGGTATATAAGGTGTGAGGAGACAGAAACAAAAGCTTTTAGGCTGAGGAACCCCTTTCAGCTAGAGCCCTTTCGGCTGGAACTCTTTCAGGCTGAGGAGTTGATGAGGTAAGAGGTGGTGGCTGTGGCTCGCTCTGCTTCTCTGATCTTTTAGCTTTCACCCCAACATCTGATCTGGGTTTTTTTTATTAAAAGATTAAATTAAATTTCATGTTACAAATTCTGTCTTCTGCCAGGCGGTGGTGGCACATGCCTTTAATCCCAGCACTCAGGAGGCAGAAGCAGGTGGATCTTTGTGAGTTCGAGGCAGCCTGGTCTACAAAGTGAGTTCCAGGACAACCAGGACTGTTACACAGAGAAACCCTGTTTCGAGAAAAAACAAAACAAAACAAAACAAACAAAAACAAAAAACAACAACAAAAATTCTGTCTTCCCCTTTCTTTCCTCCCTTGTCTCCTCCTAAAATGACAATCTGATGACAGCAAGTACTCATGGGATGTTGTGGGGGGTGGGACAGGAAAAGGAGGGCTCAGTTCTGTACCATGCTCATAGATCCTCACCAAGTTGAAGAAAACTTTTGACTTTCTGTCTAGGTGATACCCAGTGCTGAGATCTGAGGCTCCAGCCATTAACCTGTGTCAGTAAAGCCCGCCGAAACATACAGCCTCGTAGCTCTGCCAGTCTGCTAGACTCCCCAGGGGTGTGTTATATGAACACGAAGATTCTCCTACATGTCACATGCAGGTTTCAGGGCTATCTTAGGACAGCAGATTAGGCCACTTCTGCTGCTAAATACATCTCCACCATGTTAAAAATGGTATACTTTAAAATTCAAGGCCTCTCCTCAGAGAAGAGGATTTTCTCTAATACCCCACCAATTTGGATCCTTCCATGACTACACCTTTCCCTCTGCCAATTCAGGCTGGAGGAGGAAGGCCAACACAGGAAGTAAGGCTCTGCAGGTCCTGCTACCTTCCCCCACCCCAGATTCCACAGATTCAAAGCAGAATGCTTTTCCTTCCTGCTACTGACTTTGTCTCAGTTTCCCTAAGAAGTGGTGTACAGGAAATCCCACTTTCACTATTACCAATATCTGGATTTTTAAAAACTGCCAATAGAGCTTCAAAATTGCCTAAGACCCCCTCCCTTGAAAATGTCTGGTTTTCTAGGACTGGTGAGATGGTTCAGCAGTTAAGAGCACTGGCTGCTCTTCCAGAGATTCTATGTTCAGTTCCCAATAACCACACAGTGGCTTACAACCATCTGTAATGGCATCTGATGCCCTCCTCTGGCATGCAGATGCACATGCAGACAGAACACTCATAGATAAAAATAAGTAAATAAAATTCAAACGAAAAGTAGAAATAAAAAAAAAAGAAAAGAAAATGTCTGGGTTTTTACTATGATTGTGGTTTGGAGATCCAAAACTCTATTTTTAGAAATCAAAGTTGCTCTTTGCTTTCCTTTCTTCTTTCCTCCCTCCCTTCTTTCCAGTCTTCTCTTCTTATTGTTTTAAAAATTATTTTATTACTTTGTGTGTATGGGTGTTTTGCCTGCTTGCATCACGCGCATGCAGTGGCCCTGGAAGCCAGAAGAATGTATTGGATCACTTGGAGCTGGAGTTGCACCGTGAGCTACCACATGGATGGGTTCTGGAGATCCAACCAGGGTCCTCATAGAGAGGACCAGTGCTTTTAACTGCTGAGTCATCTCTCGAAATTTTTCTTCTTTTTGAATTTCTGATGCCACGGTTCTACTAATTTTTTGAGGATAATAGTTACTTCTGGATGACCAAGGAGAAAGTCCCAAAGGGATATAAAATATTAAAGTATTTTAAAAATCTCTCACTTTTTTTTTCGTAAAGTTGCCAACCTTTTCATTCATAGTCTTTCTTGTACCTCATATTTTTCCATAGAAGGACAAATTTATCTCCGTTTGGAATACCAATAGTAATAAAATAAAAAGGTCGTAACTTTTAGTGCCATACTTTAGTTTCAGAATTCAATTTGGCAGTGACTTGAAAGTAAGAGCCCGCATGATCACCATTTATTCATTTTATGAATTCTATTTGGAAAAGAAATGTATTCAGCAAGTTCTGGAAAGCAGGCAGGGTCAGGAATGGCATTCTGGGACAGGTTGGAAGGATGGAAGCCGTGCCTACGTTTGTAAAGCATTCAATCTGGAAGTAAGCTGTAATCAACACGCACATTTACCATTAAAAATCATTGACTCGGGTTTGTCATCATGAACTTCCTGCCGTGGAGGCTTGTAGAAAATGTAAAGACACCAAGAACCTGCGCACCGAGGCGAGGCTCTTTCCGCGGCAACTGGGAGGGCGGAACATCCTTTCCTTTAAGAGGCACAGGGGACGCCAGCGTACGCGTTTTTTGCTGAATTTTGGGCCTCGCCACCCGCCGTCCGCCGTCACGTGCGGGCCGCAGCGGCCGCGTAGTCAGGTGGGGACGGGCTGAGCCGGGTGCCAGCCAAGGCAGGAAGGGAGGTGGCTGTCGAGCCATTCTTAAAGGGGCCCCGAGAGATCCTGCGGCGACGGGCCGCCGACGGCCGGAAGGAAAATGGTGAGTGGCGGCGGAGGGCGGCACCGCGGGGCTGGGCGGGCTCGCCGGCCCTTCCCGACTTCCAGCCGCGGCCTGGAGGACGCCCCGGCCGCGGGCCGGCGGTTGGAACGTGGCCTCCGCGTGCACAGGGCTCTGGCCCTTGTGGTCCCCGCGGCGGAACGGGCTGGGCCTGAGGGGCGGCGTTGGTGGCGAGCGCTTGGGTTCTGATTGCATTCTGGCCTCGTCCAGGCTTCGCTCTGCTCGCGTCCCCCAGTGTCCCGCTGAATAGCTCCTGATCTCCGCATTCTTCCAGTCGAGGCCATTGGAACCCATGTGACCCGAGGGTCTCTGGTTTCGCCTTTAAGCAGCTGTCAGAGATTTAGTTTTGCGGCGCCTGGGGCTGTGGCTTCTGTTCCTCTTGACGATGGACCCCCCAAGCATAAAATAAAGTGGAGATTTAAGTCAGTTGCCATCAGGGATCTTCTGGATCCTTTTAAAATACGACCAAGTTCCATGGAAACAGCAACAGGAAAACACTGTTGTTATCCTTAACTCCTCTCTTGGGAACCACTTCCATCTAGCTGCTAGATTCTAGCAGATCTTGCCGAGGTCACTGAACCCAGGAAACTCGTGGGTTTTCATCATTACGACCTTTAAGCCACATTCCAGGGTGTTGACAACTCAGACTTGAAGCATTCCTTTTTTCATACTTCCCCCTAGGCTTCAGGGATTCAGAACTCCTGGCTTTCCTCCTACTTCTGCTGATGCATCTGTTTCCCTTGGATTCCCCTCTCCATTTCCTGGTCTGTGCTCATAAGAGCCCTAGGCTCCATCCTGAGGCTTCATTTTCTATTGTATTTCCCTTTGCTGAATTCCTGGCTTCGGTTACCACCTACTTTGAGTTGACTTGTGAGTTCCTATCTCTGACCTTACTGCTGAGATTCAACCAGAAGTTATATTCCACTTTTTGGTTAATATACTCAGGAAGCATGGCACCACACAGATGCCACAGAGGCTCTTCAGCTTGTCCCAAAAGAACTCTCATAGTTTTTCCTTCACATCTGGTCTTCCTTCAGCCAGAATTCTGTAACTTGGTTAAAGGTCCCATTTGTTTCTGCTACACAAGCCATAAATCTTTGTAAGCCTTTATTTCCTCCATATTGAATCTAGCCCAATTCCTATGTAGCGGCTAAGGGAAAGAGCTGTAAAGGTCAGGCTACCTGGTCGCTTCCTGAGTCCACTACCTATATGTCTTTGATTTGGGGGGAAGATGCTTGTAGCCTGTCTAAGCCTTACATTTTCTGCCAAATGGGGATGGTGTTAGTGTAGGTGAGATGATTTGGAACATGAAGCGGGAATCAGCCTCATGCTACAGACATAGGAACTTAACTGATGTCACTCACTTCTATATGCTGCTCTTCAATCTCTCAGCTGCTTGTCATTGTTGTCTCTTATCTGAAGTGGTCTTGCTGGTCACTGGTGCTGCCATGTTCTTCTTGGCTCGATGCCATTTACTGCATATCATGACAAATATGATCTTATCAAAATTCAAATGTGGCCATGTTGATAGCTTCCATTTGCTGATGGGATAGAAATCTGAGTACCTACAGGCCATTACCTAGCCTTGGTTCTCGATCCCGTTCATTGTGGACACCTTAGTCCCACTGTCATTTCATGATTTAGGCTGCCATGCTCACTTGAATCACTTTAGATGGCTTTTACTGGGGCCACGATGTTCTTCACCACACATCAGTTTCAAAGCATCTTGTGGTTCTCCATTCAACCTTTATCATAGGTGCCAGTTTTGATATAGATTTCTTCTCTGCTAGTCTATAATGTAAGCTAGCACTTACACACCAATAAATGAACATTTGAGCTCAACTAAGTAACACTTGCCACCTAGAATTGTTTTTATAACTTTGTACCCATTCTTAAACGCTTCCAAGTGTAAACAAGAGTAAGAGTTGGCTAAGCCTGAGTCCATTCCCTTCTCTCCCCACCCTTTTCTTCTCTCCCTCACCCTTTCCTTTTTAGAAGAGATAATCGATCCTCCTGCCTCAGCCTCTAAGTGCTGGGATTACAGACGTGCTACCACACCTGGTTTCTGAGTCTTTCTTGTAAGATGGGTTTTTGGCTTTGTTGTGGCATTGGGAAGGGAGAAAACACACTGAATTACACAGAGTAAATCAAAGCATGTTTTCACCTTTTCCACCGTGCTGGGGGTCACATGAGGCAAGTATCTTACAAATAGAGTTACACACTGAGCATGTTTGCATGGGTTTCTGAGCCTGTGATGTCAAGCTTACGCTTGTGGCTCTTATTATCAGGGTGTCAAATTGGTTTTGTCTAAATAAAAATCAAAAGTTTTTATTAGTTTCATTAATTCTATCTTTGATCAAAGTAGATTGAATCAGCTTCAGGCGGTTCCCTGTGACTTAGTATCTCTCTAAAGAGAAGTAGAAAACTGAAAATTCATATTCCAGCAGTGGTTATTTTCTATTGGCTAGTGCCTTTGGCTGGGGTATACTTCCTGATTGATTGTGTAATTGCACATCCTATGATACATGTCACATCTTACTGATTAGCAGAGTTCAGAATTTTTTTAAAGTATTTATTTTTATTTCATTTGCATTGGTGCTTTGCCTGCATATGTGTCTGTAGGAGGGTGTTGGATCCCCTTGAACAGGAGTTAACAGACAGTTGTGAGCTGCCATGTGGGTGCTGGGAATTGAACCTGGGTCCTGTGGAAGAGCAGTCAGTGCTCTTAAGCACTGAGCCATTTCCAGCCCCCAGAGTTCAGAATTTTAAAGACAGTTAAAATGATAGCCATTTCCTGCTTTAGTGGATGTTGTCTTTAATCCAACAGAGGATCAAGCACCTAGGCTTCCATTACTTTTTTTTTTTAACTTAAAATTGGAAGCCTTAATGATTTGAGGTTCTGATGAGAAGTGTCCAAATTTTCTTGAAAGAGAAGGGGAAACTTCTCTATGAAAAGTCCAAAGTAAGTGAACTTTTTGCAACTTGACTCAAACCAACTGTAAAAAAATGTAAAGAAATGAGGAGATCTGAACACTAATTAGGTGAGAGACTAGAATTCTGGGAGGGTTTTTAAAGCAGAACACCTTTACTATGTTTGTGTTTCTGGTGACACATGATGTCTTTCAAATGACGAATGGTGCAATATTGCCAGGTGAATGACTTGTAAGACATGTCTGGGTAAGACAGTCCTTTGGGGTGTTGTTGATGTATTGTAGGCAGTGAAATGCAGATGGTAGTGATTGGAGCTGGATGATTGATACATAGGATTTCACAATTCTGTTCTCCACATTGGTGTAGTTTGGAAGGCTCTTTTCATTCATTTTATTTTTTTCCTTTCTTGGAGACAGGGTCTCACTCTGTAGCTCCAGCTAGGCCCAAACTCAGAGATCTTTCTGCCTCTTCCTCTCTAGTACCAGCATTAAAGATGTGCACCATCATACCTGGCTGATTTTGCAGTTTTGCCTACTAAAAGCATCATAGCATGTCATGGTGGCACACACTTGCAATATCTATGCTACTGGAGAGGCCAAAGCAAGGAGGATCCCAAGTTTAAGCCAGCTTGGACAACAAGAGAAAATCCCCTGTCAAAAACCAGCCAGCCAAGGGCTGGGGCGATGGATGAGTATTTAAAGTAATTAATTACTGCATAAACACAAGGATATGAGTTCGAAGCCCTGGAACTATGAAAAGCCAGGCACTGTAGCATGTGTCCATAATCTCAGTGATCCAACAGCCAGGTTCGGGAGGCAGAGGCAGTAGAATGCACAGAAGCTCACCAGCTAGCTAACCTTTGCACATAGTATGCAGAGGGATCCTGTCTCAAATATTGGAAGACTAAGACTAGCACCCAAAGTCATCTTCTAGCCTCCATGTGTACACTGTGGCACATGTATGCCCAAATTCACACAGATATATGTATATGCACATATAGTTTCTATCTATGCACCCAAAGACAAAACCAGCTAACTAAACAACAACAAAACAGCCAGATATAATACTCATACCCTGGAATTTAGGAATCTGAGGCAAGAGACTTGCAAGTTCAAGGCCAGCCTGAGGTACATAGTAAGCTCCAGGCCAACCTGGACTACTCACCAAGATTCTCAAACAAAACAAAAAACAAAAAGCAAAAACAAAGTAAAACAAAAATATAAAACTACTTCTTTCCTCTTGTTTGTGGCAATAAATTGCACCACTGAAAGAAGAAAGCATTTAATGATTTTCTTGCCAGATTTCTGGGGAAGATCTATTAGTATTTCTTCATAATCTCTAAGCATTTCTTTTGGCTTTTATATTTATTTCGTCTGCTTTTGCATATATATATATATATATATATATATATATATATATAATTTTTTTTTTTTCTTTTTCAAGGAAACAGATTTATTGAGTGTACTACAAGGGGCAGTGGGCTGGGTAGTAACCAGAGTATTGCCTGCTTTTTTGTTTCGTTGTTTTTTTAAGACAGGGTCTTTCTACATAGCCCTGGCTGTCCTGGAACTTGCTCTGTAGACCAGGCTGGCCTTGAACCCAGAGAGATTCTACCTCTGTCTCCCCCGCCAGTGCTAAGATTAAAGGCATGAGCCACCATGCCTGGCTTTTTTGTTCTTTTGTTTGTTTGTTTTTGTTCTGTCCTGGAACTCACTTTGTATACCAGGCTGGCCTTAAGTTCACAGTGATCCTCCTGCCTCTGCTCCCCCAGTGCTGGGATCAAAGGTGTGCACCACCACTGCCCGGCTAAAGATTTATTTATGAATGTATTTTATGTTTGTGTGTGCTCTGTCTTCATGCACACCACAAGAGGGCATCAGATTCCATTACAGGTGGTTGTGAGCCACCATGTCGTTGCTGAGAATTGAACTCAGGACCTCTGGAAGAACAGCCAGTGCTCTGAACTGCTGAGCCATTTCTTCAACCCCCTTTTGTATATTCTTTAATTTTTTTTTTTTTTTTTTTTTTTGGTTTTTCGAGACAGGCTTTCTCTGTGTAGCTTTGCGCCTTTCCTGGAACTCGCTTTGGAGACCAGGCTGGCCTCGAACTCACAGAGATCCGCCTGGCTCTGCCTCCCGAGTGCTGGGATTAAAGGCGTGCGCCACCACCGCCCGGCACATTCTTTAATTTTATGTCTTTGTATTCACCTAAGATATAAATTGTTCATTTTTACTGTCAGGTTTATTTTTATTTTCCTCTTAATTGTGAAACTCCCAAACAGTAAAATGATTTTCCCGTCTTGCCACGCAGTGTGAGATGCTCACGCAGGTGACGGCCCTTCACTTCCACATTTCTCCCTTCCTCTCTACTTCACATGCGATGCTTGTCAATGTGTGCTTGGGTTCTGAAGTATTTATTAACCAAAAAGAAAGTTAAAGTAAGCTTGTATTAGAGATGAACAGGTATAACTAACCCATGTAGATCCAAAAGGTGGTAGATTTGAAAGTTCTTTAACATGCACAAATATTGAAGTCATGTCATTTTAAGTGTATGTATCCCCCCTCTCTCTTGTAGAGTGAGTCTTTGGTGGTTTGTGATGTTGCTGAAGATTTAGTGGAAAAGCTGAGAAAGTTTCGTTTTCGAAAAGAAACCCACAATGCTGCCATTATAAGTAAGCTGAAGTTGCCTCAAAACTCTGACGTTAGTTTGTGTTCTCTTACAGTCCTTTGAATGTGCCAAGCCTTTAGACCGCAACAGTTCTTCTTCACCTGCTGTATTTGTCACTGTTACCTCTGCAAGTTAAGAAACTGCTCGTTCTGTTGCCATAGATAGCACCCCCCCCTCGGGAGACGCTAATTGTCTTGATCACTTGAGGAATGAGGGTTCCATTTGTAGGGATCCATGAATCTTTGTATGGCTCCGAGGGCTAACATTTGCCCACACCTAAATGGTAAAGTTCAGCGTTGAGCCTTATTCTAATTCTACACTAAACTTTAGTTTCAGGGAGAGTGCTTTACTTGTTTTCGTAGCTAATACTTCATGGGAGATGATTTAGAAAGATGAAGGAAGGTTGAGGGAGTGAAGATGTAAAAGTATAGTCATACTTTTGCATAACAGAGATCCATCAGGCAGGTGTGTATCAGATCAGGTGGTGACACCTTATGAATTTTGGTTCTGTTACAAATAAATATTATCATGTGGTCCTATGGGTCTCTTTTTTTCATGTGGTCCTATGGGTCTCTTTTTTTTTTAAATGTATGAGTGCTCTGTCTGCATGTGTGCCTACATGCCAGAAAAGGGCATCAGGTCTCATTATATGTGGTTGCTGGGAATTGAACTCAGGACCTTTAGAAGAGCAGCCAGTGCTCTTAACCGCTGAGCCATCTCTCCAGCCCCTTTTTATGTTTGTTTGGTTTTTTTTTTTTAAATGGTGATAGGGTTCTTTTTTTTTTTTTTTTTTTAAGATTTATTTATTTTAGTATACAGCATGTATGACTGCAGGTCAGAAGAGGGCACCAGATCTCATTATAGATGGTTGTGAGCCACCATGTGGTTGCTGGGAATTGAACTCAGGACCTCTGGAAGATCAGTCAGTACTCTTAACCTCTGAGCCATCTCTCCAGCCCTGGTGATAGGGTTCTTAATGGGGAAAATGTATAATAGTGCCATTTACCCCAACAGATGAGGCTGTTTGAAGTCCTAGTGTATGTCCTTAGAATTTAATGTGAATTTAGTGCAAACTCAAGCATAGTTAACTCTTTAGACAGGTAGAAAAGAATAAAGGCATAGAGGACCTAAGTTTACTCTGATTTGGATTTGGATTATGTCAGTTATATTTGAACAGAGGTTGAATCGATAATTCACTTTCTTAGAATAATGACCATCTGCCATGAAATTGTAATGTTGGAGAAGCTAGGGGGTCTTGGGATTTCTTTCTCCTAAGCCCTGGTGAGCTTTTCTTTGGCAGTTCTAACCATGTTGCACATAGACAGTCTCAGTCAGTTAGTCTTTCAAGTCTCCTTTTATTTAGACAGTTGTGCTGGAGTCCCAAAGTTCTCCGTACATGCAGTACATGTGAGGAGTTGATAAGAGTCTAAATAAGCATGTTCCATGTTGGGAATTCTACCTGGAAATGTAAAGCTAATACTTACATGTGTTTATGCTGTGTTTCTTGATGTCTTAGTTTTTGGTGCTCCCCTCCCTTCATATAGACTAAAGCTGCATAGATTGGACAGTCAAGGTCACCTAGAATCGCACTTTACTTATATTGTATTTTCCTTGTAGTGAAGATTGACAAGGACAAACGCCTGGTGGTACTGGATGAGGAACTTGAGGTTTGTTTAATGAGCTAAATACAATTTCTATAGTTAAGCAATTATTGTTGTCCAAACAATGCTATGTTAGTTACATGTACTAAAACAAGTACTGGACCTCCTTAAATACATGCTAATTTTACATGAAAAGCGTGGGCTGATTGTTGGTCTTGCTGATTTAACTGCCTTCCTTAAAGCTTTAATGAGATCCAGTGTTGGAGGTCTGCACCTAGTAAAGATGAGTTAGCTTCCTAACTGATGAGCTGTGCAGAGTGGTATCAAACTAACGCCAGCCACTGAGTGTTTAGTAGAATTCCTGTTTCCTCTGAGGTGCTGCTTTGTCACTCAGTGTCTCTTGACAATTGGAACATAAACATAGAAGGAACACTGTCCTTCAGCCCTGTGTTTTGTTAGTAGAAGTAATTTTGTGATGCGATAACAGATTCATAGCTCTTAGCAGAATGGGTGCTCAGCAGATCTTTGGGGAAGGACATGCTTCAAAGTTTTCTTTTCTCTCTGGTGCCAGGGCATCTCCCCAGATGAACTTAAAGATGAACTCCCTGAGCGGCAACCTCGATATCCTTTTCTAAGTGGTTTGGAAAGAGTTTTGTTAGTCACCAGGATTTTATTTATGAATCCATTTGTTAAACTTCCAAAAGACATTTTATATGCCATGAAAACAGAATGGGGGACTGTTGGGAGAAGGAGGGAACAGTGAGGGGGGAGGGAGGGACAAATGTGAGCGGAGTACTAAATATATGAATGACTAAGAAGTTAATAAAAGGATAAAAACATATCTTAAAGGGCCCCCCTCCACATCATGATCACATTAAAATATGTATGCATGTAGTAGATAAGAAAAAGGAAAGTTGATGTATTAGATTTCTTTTTAAACAGTTCTCTTTAAATGTGCACATAGTAAAAACTGAGAAAGAAAAAGTCCACATTAAATCTGGACTTTTAACAAGTTTCTTTTTGAGAAGCTGCATGATTTTATAATTTGCCTTTGGGGCCTATTTTGTAGAACGATATCAAAAGTGTGGTGTTTAATGAATGAGGCCATTCATTAGCTCAAGTGTTGACTGTTGCCTGTCTTGGAGCTGTGACTTTCATTTCTTTAACTTGAGAAAAACCTTCATTGTGTATAGTTATAAATACCAACATGATGATGGAAGAGTTTCCTACCCTCTGTGTTTTATCTTCTCCAGTCCTGTTGGTGAGTCAGTCTCTTTAATAATGTGTACTTGGCTTTGATCCAATTGAACCATCTTCTGCTAGACAGATTTTTGCTATTTATAAAGATGAAATTGTTGAATATCCTAAATTGAGGTCAGCTGATGTTTGTGTTTGTGCACATACCGTGTACACTCTAGAGAGCAGGTACTGTGAAGTGTCGTCTCTCAGGATGCACTTACCTCTGCTGGTTAATTCCTAGAAGTATAATTGTTGAGTTAAATCATACATTTTAATGATTCAGAAATACAATGACACCTTTTACAATCAGAAGTATATATTTTAATCTTGTTTAAGTATGTGATCTTTGTGTGACCATGGTAATATGCTTATGTTTATCTTTTTTTAAAAAAGTTACTAGTGATATACCTGTAATCTTGAAGATGGTCCTTGTACTATCAAAATTAAAATAGTGCTGAATAAAGTTTTTAAGTGTCAAGACTCTAAAAATCAGGATCTATGGAAACCTAGAACCATTTTTAATGATCTGCTCACTTTGAATTGTATGTCTTTGTGCAGGCAATGTACAGTGGAAGAATCACAGTTTAGCCATGTACATTTAGACCAAAGCTTTTGTAAACTTAGTAGCAAAGGAAATCCTAAACAAATCTTTGTGAGAGATAAAAGTAATGGAAACCATTACCTTTTCAAAAGCTACCCTTTGTCTCTGTGCTGATGTCTTCCAGGGTGCAAGCCTGAGCAGCAGATGATGTATGCTGGGAGTAAGAACAAGCTAGTCCAGACAGCTGAGCTAACCAAGGTAGTATCTGTGTTGGACATGCTTCCTTTAGAGTACAGGGCAACAGCTGAGCAGCTGGTCCAGATGTATTCTCTATAGCTGAAGCCATGTCGACTAATGTGGTCCATAGTATAAGGCTTTGTATTCGTGGGAAAGAGAACTATAGTAATCTTTGAACCAACGTGTGTTTTTAAAATAATTCAATTAGAAAAAAATTACTTTTAAAATGTGAGCAGCTTCAGAAAAGCTACTGTAACCATGCCTGTAAAGCCAGCACTGGGGAAGCTGAGGCAGAAGGATCATGAGTTCAAGGCTAATTTGGGCCACATAATGAGATTACCTTAAAAAAAGAAGAAGAAGAAAAGAAAAGGTCATGGTAACTGCTGAGCTAGTAAGTCTTTTATACTATCTGCACCCTAATGTACTAGATCTAACATTTCAATGTACACATTACTTTTATAATTCTGTAATCTCATTCTGTACAGGTGTTGAGATTGACGATCATATTTCTGTAAATAAGAAAACAGGCTCACTGGATAATGAGACTTACCCCCAAGCCTCACAATCTGAGCTTGATTCCTAGGACACACATGGTAGAAGCAGAGAACCAATTCCTGCAAGATGTCCTCTGACCTCCATACACATAGGGCTCATATGTACAGACATGTGCTTCCACACAAACACACACACAAATACAAGTGTCATTTTAAAGGTAAAAACAAAGAAAAGCAGGTTCAGAAGATGAATGACTTGCTTAGGGTTATGTGTTAGTTAGAGCTAAGATTCAGATTTACATCTGGTTCCACGTCCCATCTGTGTGCTGTAATACCTCATCTCCCTCTAGCCTTGTGCTCTCTGGACTGTGAATTCAGATTCCTGCTGGGTAACTCTAACTGTGGACTTTGAGTGTAGCCTTATCAAATTAGTCAACAGCTGGTGTTAACATCTGATACTCAAACTGTGGAAGATTGGCCTTATGTTTCTTCAGCTCCTGGCTAGGTTGATTTTAGATACATACGTATGCTTGGCTGTCTTTTCTAATGGGCAAGGTTTACATAATTGCTCTTTTAACATGTATGTGCCACTTTAGAATTTGTGGTTTTAAAAGAACATAGGTTTTATGCCATCTTGATTTCTACACTTTGGTAACTTAAGTATTTAGCATTGGAAAGAAGGTAAATATTAGCCGGGCAGTGATGGCACATGCCTTTAATCGCAACTAGCACTCATGAGGCAGAGGCAGGTGGATCTCTGTGAGTTCGAGGCCAGCCTGATCTACAGAGCTAGTTCCAGGACAGCTAGGGCTGTTACACAGAGAAACCTTGTCTTGAAAACAATAACAACAACAAAAAGAAGTTAAGTATTACCAAAAATGGACATCTAATTTACTCAGATTAAGTCATGGTCATGACCAATATGAAGGAAACAGAATGTGGTATTTAATACTCAGTACAATGTAGGGATTTTTTTTTTAAAGTGATGGAATATGAATGACTTCAGTTTGTTTGTTTTTTCCTTCCTTAAGGTATTTGAAATAAGAAACACTGAAGACCTAACTGAAGAATGGCTACGTGAGAAACTTGGATTTTTCCACTAATGTGAACTTCTGTGTTTCTAAAGTATTTATGTATTAACCTGACCATACTGGAACCAGACATAAATAGTTAATTTATGCCTAAAAATGCACTGTTACTTACAGTCTGTTTCCTGCAGTAAAGAAACTTCATTTGTGCAGTTTGAACAAAGGGAAATCATCTTCATAGTAATGGAACTTTGTGAAGTGTTTCCTTGTGTTTGTCATTGTTAGCTGGACCACTTTTCTCCGGGGTGACTAATTTCTGTAATTTATGATTCGGAATGACTGTTTGCAGACACTATTGGAAGGTGGGTATTAGACTGTGATGGACTCAGGTCCTCCTTGGACCCCTCCTGGGTACTGGCAGTTTAGAAGTGCAGAGAGCACCTCATCGCTTGGCACATCAGCCAGGTTCATGGGCTAAGGTGACTGACGCTGAGCCAGGAGTCGTGACTGCAGGCCTCTGCTGCACTCCCTAGTCCTCCTTCGCTCTTGGTCTCCTGTGGCTTTTTAATCAAGTGTGGAATCTACATCAATCACTCGTTCTTAAGGTCTGGGAGTTCGATTTTATGGTAGAGTTATGATTATTAGGTTTTCTTCTTATGGGAAGTAGAATTAATTCTAGTCTTAGAAACTGGTGAGTTATAGAATCAAGGGCTTCGTTCCTGGTTGTGTCACTAATAGGGAGCTTAGAATGTAGCTTGATAACACTATAAAGCATCTCCTAATGTCTTGTGAGCACTGTTTAATATGTTAATACTGTGCCTTTGATTTGTCAGCATTAACATTAGCTTAAGACTTCTACACTGCCAGTATTCTAGATTTGGTGAAATTAATACTTTTTTAAAGGGTTCAAGTAAAACAATTTTCTAATATGTATAACTGAAGTTTGTAATAAAACCAACTTGTTATTTTTAAAATTCCAACTGTCTGCCCAAAGTCGTGAATATATATGGTAGGTGAGAGTTATAATTTGGGGTATATTTACTGTTAGTTTTGTGCCATATGTAAGCATTATTTAAAAGTTTGGTCATAGTTAATAACACATCAATAGATGTCATACCTTTTATTCTAAATGTCAGAAGAAATTCTAATATGGACAAAGCCGGTCATGTTAGATGGTGACACCATTGTTAGGAAGTGAGGCTTATAATGTACTTGCAGTTATTATGTTACACTTAAGAAAACATGTAAGAAACTGCTGAGTCATAATTTGATTTAAAGAGAAAAGTAGAGAGACTGTAGAGGCTGAGCAAAGTTTTATATTAAGAAAGTAATTATTTTGAGCTGAGCAGTGGTAGTGCACATGCCTTCCATTCTAGCACTTGGGAGGCGAAGGCAGGCTGATCTCTGAGCTCGAGGCCAGCCTGGTCTACAGAGCAAGTTCCGGGACAGCCAGGATTACACAGAGAAACCCTGTCCCAAAAAAACAAAACAAACAAACAAAAAAATCATTTCAAAACTAGCAAAAGCATTTTTATGTTGGCACGTGTTCATTGCAAAGTATTTGTCTTATTTAGGGCTCTGTACCAGCTTTACTGGAGGAGAGTAGTTGAACTTTCACGGTGGAATAGGGTGTGCTGTATTCCTAGCTGTGTGTTCACGAACCTGTGTGTCAGGAAGCAGTACAAGTGCTAGAGGAGGTGTTTGCATTGGCTCTGAATGGAAATAAAGTTGCTTTATTTCGGTTTCTAGAGAGTGAGAAAACTTCACCCAAGAGGTTTAAGAGTTCACCATATAGGTATTTTGTTACAGGCTAGAGAATAGCTTGCTTATAATCCTACAGAAGGCAAATGAGGTCCAAGTAGAGAGTAACTTTAATGTTTTTTGAATGAAGCAAATAAGCTTTTGTCTCACCTGATTGCGTGAGCACTCTGTTGAAAGTCATGCTGCCAGAGTGTCCGTTTCTAATGCAGTACTTCATTTGGGCTTGCGGATTTCACTTAGTGTCCGTTTTTAATGCAGTACTTCATTTGGGCTTGCGGATTTCACTTAGTTTTGGAAATTAGACCTGCCAAACACAGGACTCTTACCTCCAGATCTCTAGCAGCAACACAGAGGGTGGTCAGCAGCTTCCTTTTTAAGCTTGTCTGACCCTTCCCAAGAAATGTGCCTTCTGCAAGGCCGCATATTGGATTGGGGCATCAATAGAACATTTTTATTCTGTCTGTCCTTAGGCAGGTTTGTAAGTCTTATGCTCCAAAGTAGTTCTCAAATATTTATATAAGTTTCCCTTTACATTCTTTTAAAGTATTTTCATTCTTTTTCTACCTTTCCATAAAGAGTATGTCCAGATTTCATAATTCCAGCTTTTACACTCCATGTCTTTCTGGAACAACCATTCCCACTCAGCCTTAAATCTTAATCTTTCCTTTTTGGAAGCCACTCTTTCCAGGAACCTCTTTGTTTTGTAAGTCAGCTTTGGTTTGGAATTTCTGATCTTACCTAAGTTGTGCATAGCATCTAATGTCAGAACCAACTAAGAATCACAGTATGTATTTAGTAAGTTTTTGTGACACAGAAGTGACGTATGAAGAAAGGTATTCTCAGGTTACTGTGCTGAAATTCCAAAATGTCTGACTTTTGAACAGTAATCACTTTGTTCTGATATTGAAACAATTATGTTAGGAAAAAAGCTGGTTGACTGTTTTGTTTAATGGACTTCTGAACTCTGAATTGTCTATCTGGATGCCTAGTGCAGTTAAACATTCTCTTGTGTGAGGGCTGTTGTTAGATTGTTTGTCATTAGTAAATAATCTGTCGCAAAATGCGTGTGAGCATTTCCCTCCCTTTGTCCCCTATTGTCAGGAGACAAGCTGAGCCATAAACTATACCCTGCTCTGACACTTTCACCAACCGCTTCCAGTTAGAGGACTTTATTGCCAAATTAAACTTGGCTCTCATCCTGTCCAGATAGAAACTGAGGAAGTGCACAAAAGACATGTTCAGACACTTGTAAAACTTGTGTGACGGCATCATTCTGTATATGGACTAGTGAATAGATATTTTCATAAGGGTTGAAATGCCAATATTTGGGAAGTAGAGAGTAGAGTCTAGTCTGTCAGTTCTATCGAGTGTTAATATAGCTGTACTCCTTATTTGTTTTGGAGACTGATAATACTGGAGTCCATAAAGTTTGAACCTTTACAACTTATGTGAAGAAATGTTGCAAACATTTCTGGATGGATCTTATTTTGTATTTCTGGAAGAATGTAAATACTCCTAGGCCTCTTCATGCTGATGGTTCCCAGGCAAATGTTTCTTGTTAGGCCGTTTGACATTTCAGATCAGTGATCATATTCCTGTGATGTTTAAAACAATTACATTAAGCTTGTGGTATTTTTTGCGTTTTAGAATATAAATACTTGAATATTGTTTGAGCTCACTAACATGCCAGGGCAAGTCCCACTGATTTTGATGGTCCAATATAATCTCATGCAGGAGGCTTGAAACATTGGTGGCTTAGTCTCGTGGGTTGGACAGTTCTCTGTTGTTGTTCGAGAACACCAACAATTGGCACCATGTCTTCAGCTGTGCTTTCAGTCTGCTAGTTCATGCCGCATGTTTATTTTGGAGTCCTTTGGTAAGCATGGTGCTTGTACTGGTTTCAATAAAATGCTAACATGAAAGGACTTCTAGTGTTTCATTTTTTACCTGCCCTCCACCATCTCTCTGTAGCTACGGATGCCTGCCTGTCAGTTTCTATAGGGGAAAACCAAGTAACGACAATAATGAAAACCAGGAATCCTTGGGCAACTTGTTGGAAGGAAAACATGATGACATGAAACTTTCTAAAACACAGTCTGATGCAAAAATGATGGATTTGTAAAAATGTCAGTGAAAAGCAGTAGAGGCAGAAGAACTGGTTCCAGACGATGAAGCTAGTCTTGAAAGGGGGAATTAGAAGTTAGGAGGTCTGTGTGCCTCCAAGCAGTCGTGTCAGAGGTCCTGTTATTGGAAATAGTGTCATTGTTTATAATCATGCATTGAAGACCCATCCTGCTCTAGGGACTGGACTCCAGAGTATATGCCCGGGGTGTCTGGTAGAATGGATAAATACAAACCAAATCACTAAAATGCTCAGTGGCTGCTTTACCATGTACTACTTGTGATTTCATCTGCTAATTGTCACAATTTGTTTTGGTTATGAAAGGAGTAATTAATGCTTTCCTGTCTTTAAGAATCTCAAAAGGATGGGGCTGGAAAGATGGCTCAGAAGTTAAGAGCATTGGCTGCTCTTCCAGAGTTCAATTCCCAGCAACCACATGGTGGCTCACAGCCATCTATAATAAGATCTGGTGCCCTCTTCTGGCCTGCAGCCATACATGCAAGCAGAACATTGTATACATAAAAAAATCTCAAGAGAACTGGCCACAGTCCTTATTTCTCAAATTTGATCACTTAGCTACTCAAAGAACCACTTTTTTTTTCTCTCATTATTTTGCCTTCACTAAAAAGTATGTCTTTCCCCCAACCCCCAAATCCTTGTTAGTTTTCAACAACAGAAAGTATCTAAGCTCTCAACATGGGCCCAGAGTGGTTTGCGGGAGTGGACACTGCATCTCAGTGCAGTGTATCTGTAGCTATATCAAGGGCCAGTTAGGTGGAAGGTCTGGACACTGCATCTCAGTGCAGTGTATCTGTAGCTGTATCAAGGGCCAGTTAGGTGGAAGGTCTGGACACTACATCTCAGTGCAGTGTATCTGTAGCTGTATCAAGGGCCAGTTAGGTGGAAGGTCTTCCTGCTGAGCATCCTGTGCTTTCAGAGTTTTTATGGGGATTGGAAAGTTTGGTTTCCAGCACCTAGGTTAGACATAACTGTCTTGAACTCTAGCTCTGGGGGATCTGATGCCTTTTTCTAACTTCTACAGGTACTTGGCGCGCGCGCGCGCACACACACACACACACACACACACACACACACACACACACACGAATGAAAATGCTTAAGAAAGGAATTCATGGTCTGAGCTGCTACATGTTAGATTTGTGATCCACCTGGAATTCGTGGTGTACAAGATGTGAAGAGGCCGAGGGGTGGCTTCACACACTCACATGTAGACATGCTTCTATTAAATTTAATTGACCGTTGAGGTGAGAGTGCATTTCAGATTCCTCATTTTATATCACTGCATATTTATATTTCTGTCAGTGTTACACTATTTTGACTTTCCTAGCTTTGTATTAATTTAGCATTAAGGATATGAGTTCTCAATGATCAGATCTTGAAGTAGTTACCAACCCTGGCCACTGACTAGTATATATAACTTGGAATCCAAGTAGCTGCAATTTTCAGTGTTCTTTTATCTTTAAAAAATTTTATTGGTATGCCATGTGGTGGTGGCATACACCTTTAATCCCAGCCCTCAGGAGGCAGAGGCAGGAGGATCTCTGTGAGTTCAAGGCCAGCCTAGTCTACAGAGTGAGTTCCACGACAGCCAGGGTGTTACATAGAGAAACCCTGTCTCAAAATATAAATATAAATATAAATATAAATATATATATTGGTGTTAGTGTGTGGATACCCACTACAGCAATTGTATGAAGGTCAGAGAACAACATGAACAACATGGAGAGTTGCCTCTTTTTATCTACCATGGTTTCTAGGGAAAGTTGTCCAACTTGCAAGAGCGCCTACCCGCTGCACTCTTGATAGCTCTTTTTTCAAACAATATTTTATTTATTCTTTCAGAATCCCATACAATATATTTGATCATATTCTCTCACCTGCCCCAACTCCTCTCAGCTCCTATCCAACAAAACTTCTACCTACCTAACTTCATGATTTTTCGCTCTCTTAAAAGAACAGACAAAAAAGCCATGGAGTCTAATTTGTGTCTGCTGAGCATGGCGCCTGCCTGGAGCATGGTTGATATGCTGTGTCGCTCCTTTGAAGAATACTGATGTACCTTCCTCCAGCCTCTTGGTTAGGGGTAGGACTTCATGCCTACTGCCTCTCCTCCGTGTCTGGCTTGAACATATACAGGTCTTGTGCATACTATCACAGACTCTGTGTTCATATGTACATCTCCCCTGGAAAATGCCATTTCCTTGAAGTTGTCCACCACCTCTTGCTCCTATAATCTTCCTGTCCCCTTTTCCACATAGATCTTTGATCCTTAAGGGAAGAAGTGTGATAAAGATATCCCAATAAAAAATTAGTAAATAGGTGTTTTTAAAAATGGCATGCCATTTAACTAAGCTATTGGTACTATTTAGATATTATGTTATATCAGGTTTAGAGTATAAGTTGCCCAATTAAATCACAAATTTTGAACTTTGGAAAGGGCAAGAAGCTGAATTTAACTAAATGAGTTTTGTGACTATATTGCAGAAAGGGATTAGTGTCTATAAATGATGTAATCTATCTTGTTGGTTTTGTTTTACAGAGACAGGGTCTCACTATGCAGCCCAGCCTGGCCTGGAATTCACCCTGTAGCTCAGGCTGGTCTCAAAATCCTGGTGATCCTCTTGTCTCAGCCTCCCTAGTCTTGGGATGACCAGAGTTAGATACCATGCCCAGCTGATGACTTCTTATGAATAAAACAAAGATTTCATTAAGAACATTAGGCTTCCAGTAGGCATTTTCTCCAGGGTAACAGCAGTACCACCATCTGTTTAAACAGTGTTTGTGCACTGTTAAAAAATGTTTGAGAATAACCTCAGAGTGTCTTCCAGATAAACTCTGAGGTGAGATCAAATTACCTGTATTTTTTTTGTCCTCATCTCCTTGTCTTAATTAGGGTGTCTATTGCTATGAAGAGACACCATGACCATGGCTACTCTTATAAAGGACAACATTTCATTGAGGCTGGCTTACAGTTTCAGAGGTTTAGGCCATTATCATGGCAGCATGCAGGCAAATGTGGTGCTGGAGAAGGAGCTGAGAGTTTTACATGCAGATCTGCAGGCAGCAGAAGCAGACTGTACTTGGGCATAGTTTGAACATATATGAGACCTCAAAACCCGCCCCCATAGTGACACACTTCCTCCAACAAGGTCACACCTACTCCAACAAGACCACACCTCCTAATAGTGCCACTCCCTATGGGCCAAGCATTCAAGTCTACAGGGGGTCATGCCTACTCTAACCACTTCCTCCCCTCCCTGGAAATATGTATATGGAGCTGGGGAAATAGCTTTGTGGGTAAAAGCATTTCCATGCAAATATGATTATCTAAGTTCAAATCCCTAGAACCAGTGTAAAAGTCATATGCATAGCATGAGTGTAATCCCAGTGTTCCTATAACAAGATGAAGACAGACCAGAGAAACCCTGGAAGCTCACCAGCCAGCTAGCCTGATGTAGAAAATGCAGGGGTAGGGGCTGGAGAGATGGCTCAGAGGTTAAGAGCACTGGCTGCTCCTCCAGAGGTCCTGAGTTCAATTCCCAGCAACCACATGGTGGCTCATAGCCTTCTATAATGAGATCTGGTGCCCTCTTCTGGCCTGCAGGGATACATGCAGACAGAACCTGTATACATAATAAATTAAAAAAAAAAAAAAAGAAAAAAATGCAGGGGTAAAATCAGGAAAGGACTGACCTCTGTGTGTGCTGTTGAACAGTGAAGGACTGACCTCCATATGTGTGCTATTGAACAGGCATGCCTGTAGTCTCACATAGTAGTGTGTGAGTATAATAAAATTTGTTCTAAAAAATGTATTTTTTTCAGCTGGGGCGGACAATGGTGGTGCATACCTTTAATCTCAGCACACAAGAGGCACTGGCAGGTAGACCTCTTGAGCTCGAGGCCAGCCTGGTCTACATAGTGAGTTCCAGGACACCCAGGACTGTTACACCGAGAAACCCTGTCTTGAAAAAACAAAAACAAAAACAAAAACAAAATGTAGTTTTCCATCTGAAAAGTATGGTAAATACAGAAATATGTAAAAATAGGGAAAATTTATTATTCTACTCTTTAAGATAATTAGCATTTTAATATAGATTACTTTCAATTTCCATGTATTTAAAAAGTATTGCATATGATACCCAAATCCAAATGATGATTAGTGTTTGATAATATTATCCATTAAGAACCGTATAAATGCGGGATGTGATGGTACATGCCCTTTAGTCCCATGTATGCCAGGCAAGTGCCACACTCCCAGTTCTAGCAATAGCTCTTTGAAAACTAGCAAAACATAAAATTGTTAAGTAAATCATGATGTATGTACTCAAAAGTATTAGGAGACTATTTGTAAGGTTGTTTTGTAGTGCCCATTTGTGAGCCCCCTCCCCCCACAAGACCGCCAAGGAGCCAATTTTCGATGTAAGAACGAAAGGTTTCGTTTATTCCGGCCGAGGCAGGGACCTCCCCAACACCACTTTACAGTAGGTGAGAAGAGGGAAGGTGCCGAGCACTCACTCTAAGGGGTTTATAGAGGGAAGGTTCGGGGGTAGGGATGAGGTAAGTATAAAGTTGCTAATTGCTAACAGGGCTCAGGGTATCTATAGAGACATAAGTTTTTATTCCCTGTGTCCTGTTTTTGTTGACACATTCAGATTTATTGTTGCAGTCTTACTCTCTTTTGAGTTCAACTTTTGGTCAATGGAGCCCATTACTCTTTATATCTTGTTTTGCCAAGTCTAGGATACACAGATTTATTGTCCCAGCCTTATCTTTACCACAGGT